GGATCTGTTCGGTGAAATATCTGACTGTCACCGCATCCCTATAAGGACTGTTTGGCGAAATATTTGACTGAATGTCACTGCATATCAAACGACTGAAACGATATAACTAGAGGAATCTCCACTGTGATGCTGAGTGAGAGCGCTTCTCACTGAACAGCGTAGCATCGATGACGTTAGCATGCCGAGGCCCGATTGTGGTGTGAGTGCGGGCCGTCGGGGGAGACGGGAGGGGGGACAAGCGTGCTTTGGCCTGGTTCGAGGCAACTGTACCTAGTGTGAGCACGGCCTTACAGTAAGTTACTGTAGATTCTACAGAATATTGTCAACAATGATGGCGTGGGTTTTAGGGTAGGGTTTGAGGGCATTCCTCTTTTTAAAAATCAAACGTTTCATATGAATAAAATCATATAAATTAGTATGAAATAGCCACTTCATATTACATGACTACGTAAAATTGTTTACAGCTTACGGTAACTGAGAGAGCTTCAAAAAATTATTAAAACGTCAAATTACGAAAAATGCTAATTCTCACAACTCTTTCAGAAATAACAAAGCACAACAGATATGTTTCAAGGGGACCCTACAACATGACAGACCCAGCTATTATTTAGGATAATAAAACACGAAAGACACAAAAATCAGGATTTTAAAATAAAATAAACAAATAAAAAAACTCACCTTTCAAAGATCAACCAACAACATCACTAAGCAAGGGGCTGTTTCTCAATATGGGTCTCTCAGTGATCTTGTGTCCTTGTGTTCTCATGGAACGTCATCACCGCCAAACTTCAATTCCAAACTCAAGACTGCAAAAACGGAGGATGCATGAAAGGATGTGTTCTTGATATTGAGAACGCATCAATGCAAACTTGAGGCCAAAACAAAAGTCCCAGAAGTCATTGTGATTGGCTGATTAAAGGAGATTGGAAACCAACATTTAATACAGATTTATTATTTAAGTTCAGAGATAAAGCTTATTTATCTCAAGAGTTTCCCTAAATGAAACGGTGAATTAAACATTACCATGAAAATCTTAATAAAGCCATAAACATGTTAATGGTGTTTATTTGCTGAACTTTGTATTAAAATTAGTTTCATTTGTATTGTGCAACGTTTATTTGTAAGGTGTTTATGCATAATATACATTGTGAAAAGAGGAAAACAAATTGTTGTATGAATGCTGTAATGTTTAAATCTATTTCCATTAAAAACATGTGAAGGTCATGTGACCATCAGGAAGAATGCAGCATCTCATTTCTCGCAGAACGCATTCTGTGTTTTCGCAGTCTCCCGAGTTCGTTCTTCTGAGGTAACTTGAGAGACTGGCCTCCACAGGAACGCAAGTCCATTCTTTGCTTTCTTGGAATTGAGAAACAGCCATAGTCACGGGGTAAAGTCTATATCGGATTTGCGGCCGGCCAGAAGTGCGATATCCACATTAACATAGCAGCATTTTTTTTTTATGACACTGTTTAACAATAAATACGTTCGCGTGGGTTTTAAAGTGATAAATAGGTATAACTTATCTGCATGTTCTCCCTGTGTTCGCGTGGATTTCCTCCAGGTGCTCCGGTTTCCCCCACAGTCCAAAGACATGCGGTACAGGTGAATTAAGTAGGCTAAATTGTCCGTAGTGTATGAGTGTGTGTATGTGTGTGTGTGTGGATGTTTCCCAGAGATGGGTTGCAGCTGGAAGGGTATCCGCTCCGTAAAAACGTGCTGGTTAAGTTGTCGGTTCATTCCGCTGTGGTGACCCTGGATTACTAAAGGGACTAAGCCGACAAGAAAACGAATGAATGAATAATACTCGGTACAGCTACTGTTTTTACATTACTGGTATGGTTGGGTTTAGGGTTGAGGTGAGGGTAGATGTTAATAAAATACAATAAATGGGAAATTTCATAATAATATATATAATTCTTGTTAACTTCTGGCCGCATCCATATCCGATCTAGCAACAATAGTCACGGCACAGTGGTGAGCTTCATGTTTTAGGGTCCCCTTGAAACATTTCTACTCTTTTTGCTAGTGTTGTGAGAAAATGCAGGTATTTTGCATTGTGAGAAAATTCAGTAAACTTTTTTGAAATTATTTTACGTTGTGGGGAAATTCAGCGATTTTATTTTTTACAAGTTCCCTTTGTGAGGATTTGCAGCATGTGTGCTGTCAAACTGATTAATATTTTTTCTTAGTTTGCTGGAGTTTTTTTGTAATTGTATGTGTTTACCTAAATTGCTGCACGTTAGCTCTCTCGGCCACCCAGTAGGTTTACACTTGATATTAGGCTGGTTTTTATCAAGAGGTTTGGTCTGAAAAAAAAACACCCAAATATTATTCACATCATTATTGTCTCAAATGCTCATAGATATTACATTTGTTTTACCTGTTTATGTTTTTTGACTGTTAAAGTGCCAGCTGTTGATTATGTTATCACTATTTTTTAACCTGAAGAACAAAATTTCTATTTATTTTTGTGAAATGTGAAATATTAACACCATTTCGTAAACCTACTTCTGTTGTAAGATTTCTTTGGTATGTGAGGAAAGACCAAAGTGTGAATCGCCATGTGCTGGCCACAAATCTTATCTAGTTTTTGGGTGTACAAGGTTGTGTTCGGAAAGCAGCTTGCGAACTACAGCTGGCAGGAGCTGCTGGAAAATTCCCAAACCTCCGAAGCCTGAGCCACGTATTCAAACTTGTGGCTGAATGTGACTGTGAATTTTTAACAGCGATTCACCTTGTTGCTTCTTCCCACTGTGTTTAGCAGGGTCTTATAAACACTCTGATCTCATATTTGTTTACATTTTTTCTCAGATTTACTCTGGCATTGGAGAGGTTTTTGTTTTCCATTTACACTTTGTTACGTGTTGGAGAGAGTGTGGGATAATTCACATAGATGCGGCAGGGAACATTCTTAGTGGAGCTGTTTGAGTCCCACACTGTTATGTTTGTGAGTGTGTAATCATAATATCCACCATATGGATTCAATCCCACTTATTATTTTAGTATCTCAAGTGTTATATAGTTATATAAGTATCTGAAACATTACACGTTTGTAAAAGGCCAGGTAAATGTATAACATACTAGTTTTGGCATGACTGAGGATTCAGCGCAGATATACTTTATAATCAATACTCGCACATTATAACTTTAATTATTAAAGAGGTATCACTTTATTTTCATGGTCCCTTTGTTGAATTTAAATTACATTGTATCTACATACCAACTAATTCTCATTAGATTATAAGAAAACTGTTAAATTTGGATTAGGGTAAGTGTAAGTTAAAATGTACTTGCAAAGTTTCTTATAGTCAGTTAAATGTCTGTTGAAGAAACAGTATCAACAGATATTGACAGTCTACTAATACTCAAATGGACCATCAAAATAAAGTATTACCATTAAAATAATAAAGACTAATGGAAAAACAGTTAAATGCTATTTAATAAAATGCTTATTTAATTATATAAGTCTAACAAAACTTCAATTATGTTATTTATGTAATTAAAACTTAGACTCACTTTATGTTTGGTGTCTTTAACTTCTATCCAACATGCTTTTAAGTATAATTTTTTTATGCAATACAATATTGTTACGGTAAGCATAGTACAAATGTCAAAACAGTATAAACTTTGTTAAACTTTTAAACAGCAAAGATTGTGTTGCCATAATGCAATCGAAAGTCAGAATAAATGAAGTTTTGACAGTTTCTTTTAAAATATGCAGTCATATAATTGTTACTTTTTTACAGTATACACACTTTGATGTGCAAGTAATTCAAACTGTTAATAAAAACTGCAATAATTTCTCGTGATATTAAAGTAACACTGATCCTATATTGTAAAAGCTGCCATGTCTGGATGGCAAAGGTTGAGTCTCTCCAGAGGCTGTTTCAGCCAAGCTTGTCTGTCAGTAAAGACTGAATGTTTAGTGATGCGTGTTGTAGCAACAATATAACAACAAGTATATACTAAATCTTACAGTGTTTCAGTATCTGTCAGCATACAGAAAAGTCATGATAAAGTTGTAAAGTGGCTAAAAAGTTGTAAAGTGACTAGAAATTCATAAATTTTCTTATTGTTTTTTTATTATTATTTTCCAAGCAGCACAGCCTTCACTTCATTACAGAAATAACCTCAGATTAATAATCACATTAATACATTGGTTTCAGGTAGAATAAATCAGCTCTTTAACTTTTAAACAATAATATGTTATTTCATCCTTGATATATTTTACCGGGCTTGAGTTGTCTAATTATCACCCACATTAGTTTGTATAATTTAAAAGGACACATTGAAAAGCAAAAGGGTAAAAAAAAGAACATTTTGTTTCAATTAAGTGAATTTAAATCCCCTAATTTACTGTTTGCAGGCAACAAGATGCATGAAAGGAGAGAATATATTTAAAGATGCACAAACAGAAATGTTAAAAAGTTCATTTATTTATATTGTGAACAGTATTTTCTACCAAAACAATGGTTTTCATATAAATGCGGTGTTTGACCTTCATGCCAATCAAGTTATATAATCTGTTTCTTTACAAGTGTTCATCAGTTAAAAAGGCAAAAGTCCAAAATAAACCCAGATTTACAGATTTCTTGGGATTGTGCTCTCTTGTGCTGTTTTCCTACTTGAAATACGAGCCCCTGAAGAGCCAGTCAAAACAGATGTAGTGGGAAACGGACACGTGGACGTCAGGTTTCCTGGACATTCAGCACAGCTCGGCTGCTCCCACGGTTTCTCATCGGTAGAAAATTTAGGAAAAACGTCTATAGAGAGATATTAAGACTGAAAAAGACACGGAAGTAATCAAGACTGCCTGAAGTAACTGTAAAAAGGAATTACTGTGCTTTCATAATCCTGATAATTCATAATGTCATAATGATTATAAATGCCCCCTCTCCCCCCCCACCAAAAAAAAAAATTTGCTTCAAAAGCTGCTAACAACGACTTTCTTTCAGTATTTTATTGTCTATTAATTGTGTTTTGTTTTTATCTTGCAGATCAACTTCAGAGAAACCCTTCATTTTTGGACTTCACACTGTTTACTGCCTAAAAGAGAAAAAGAAAGAAAAAGTACATCATGGAACTTCAGAAACTAACAAATGGTCACCACCAGGAATTTCAACAACTTGAGGAAGGGTATGTTTCATTCACCACTGGACATTTTGTTTTTAAAGCAGAATCGTACGGCTAAATCTGTCAGCGTGTGTCTATTTTCTGCTACCTCACAGACATGTGCTAAAAGTGAAGCAAATACTCTAGTCAGTTGCTTCATCGTTTGCGTTTCTAGAACAAAAACACAGTTATAAATAAAGTTATAAACAAACAGAGTCATAAACAAAGTTACTTTTTATTTTTAAGGGAACATTTGACTGAACCTACAATGAACCTAAAAGGAAAATGTGAGCATTGCATCATTGCTCTATCATGTTTTTTCCAGGCACTGAGAAATTTAGCAGCACAGCCTTCACTTCATTACTGAAATAACCTCAGATTAATAATCACATTAATGCATTCCCTTCAGGTTACAAAGATGATTTTGTTTTATCAGGCATGGTTTAATACAGTTTAAGATCCTGCACCAACTCCACTTGTCTAATATAAAGCTCTATGAGATGCTCCCTTTCGTAGATCCACTGAAAGAAGCAGTCAAACTCCGGCATTGCTCAGTCACGTGTTTTGGAGTTGTCCTAAAATAGTTAATTATAGGATTTTGGTTTTTTAATTAATATGAGATGTGGTGGGAAAACAAGTATCTGTAAAAACTGATTGTTGGGGCTTGAATGAATCATGAAATAAATCCTATTTATCTTTTTACTTCAAAATGTTAGGTTTAATTCAATATGCTGCTTAGTATTTCTTTTTTAATTGATTGTGCTCAAAATTAATTTCATTTCATTTTCTTGTCGGCTTAGTCCCTTTATTAATCCGGGGTCACCACAGCGGAACGAACCGCAGACTTATCCAGCAAGTTTTTACACAGCGGATGCCATTCCAGCCGCAACCCATCTCTGGGAAACATCCACACACACATTCACACACTACGGACAATTTAGCTTATCCAATTCACTTGAACCGCATGTCTTTGGACTGTGGGGGAAACCAGAGCACCCGGAGGAAACCCACACAAAGGCAGGGAGAACATGGAAACTCCACAAAGAAACGCCAACTGAGCCGAGGTTCGAACCACCGACCTTCTTGCTGTGAGGCGACAGGACTACCTACTGCGCCACTGCCTTGCCTATTGTGGTTAAAATACAATATTAAATTTAAATGGATATACCCAAGCAATAGTTACTTAGTGTTTCGTAATATATAAATTAATGCAAAAAAAGACATACGTGAGTAAAACTTACTTTACAAAGTCAGGAAGTCTATGTGCATGCTCTGTTGGATTTAAACTGGCCCTGGGCCTATTTTAGCTATATTTGGTGTCAGTCATGATGCAGAATAATCTAAAAATCAACGTAAAGTGATTAGATTTGTAACTCTTTTGGTACATAGATTGATTTTATTGCATTGGAAATGAAAAGATCCTCCATGTTGCTCCACATTAATAAAAAGGTCATGTCTTCCCTTAAACATAAGAAGCAAAGACTTAAAAATAAAAATAAAAATTTCCATGTAATATGGAATCCATTTATTGGAGAGAGCAGTGACTGAACCCTAAAAACATCTCATCAAATCCCCCATTATTTAGTTTTTCTCTTTTTCCTCTTCTCCTCACTTTTCTCTGTTTTTTTAGTTTTCTTATACATATAATATTAACTTGATGTTACAACTTTTTGTTTAAAAGAAAAAAGTATACATATATAAAAGTTATAATTTGTACTGTTGTAAAAAACATAATAAAGAGAATATTTAAGAAAAAGCTACAATCACGAGATATAAAACTGCAATGCTGTAAATCTCACAATCCTAATTTTTTTAAAAGTCAAAAATAAACAATTGTGTGCTGTAGAAATTAATAAAAAAATAATTAATTGATATAAATACCATTTCAAGACATTAAAAGAAAAGAAGATGATTTTGTTTTGATTGATTGTATTAGAATTCTCTATTTTACTGTTTGTAGTCCACAAAATGAAAGGAGACAATAAATTTAAAGCTGCACAAACAGAAAGAACATGTATGTGCACTAGCATGGCAAGCTGCTTTTAACATTAAATCAACACTTTGAGGTTTACCTGAACATATTACTTCAACATGTTGTATCGAAATGAATGATGTTTTTTTTTTTTACCAAATTAGTTTAAAAAACTTTTATTTTTCAATGTATGTAAATAGATTTTTAATTTATTCATATCTATTTTGCTGCTAGTACATGCTACTAATGCTTATTCGAAATGTTGCTAGTAATTTTTTATTAAATCTACTGTGGCCATTCTGTTTTAACATATGTGATATAAGGAAAAAAGTACTTGATAAATAACTACTGGTATTTATTAATAAGTGCTAGTATAGAACGAATACATACCAGAACTAAATACCTAATGAGTAAGTGCTAGTTTCTAATTATTAAAGGGTTAAATATTAATGATTATATTTCACCCAAAACTGACAATTCTGTCATCATTTAGTCACCTTTAACTTGTTCCAAACCTTTATGAGTTTCTTTCTGCTGTTGAACACAGAAGACAATTTGACGAAAGCTAATTACCGGTAACCATTTACTTTCATAGAATTTGTTTTTCATGGAAGTCAATGGTTACATGCTTTCTTCAACATACCTTATCTTGTGTTCAATAGAATAAAGAAACTCAAAAAGGTTTGAAACCACATAAGTGAGAGTAAATAGTGAGTACATTTTCACTTTTCGTGTGAATATATAGTATGCATTAGTAGGTACTATTTCATAAAAAATCAACATGATAGAAGTCAAATATATTTCTTTCCTTTTTAAAAGTTTTACAATACAAATGCTACTAGTCACTTATGAAATAAGTAACAGTATCTATTAAATAGATACCAGTATCCAATTAACAACTACTATAAAATAATAAGCATAAATGCTAGTATTTAATAATAAATACAATATCTATTTAACAAATACTATCTAGTAACAGGTGTTTGCCTAATTGCTCGCCATACTTTTCATCCTTTATCCAATGTCTGCGCCTTTTTCTCTCCAGATGTTATGAGCAATGAAAATATCCTTTACATATTTAGATTTGTGGAGAAATTCTAATCTTCTCACACAAGCTCTCATGGTCTTCAAATGTTTGTCACTGATCTTGTTACATCTCATTTATTTACTTAACTGTAAAATACAATCCCCTTCGGTGCTGATAACTTGATAATCTGAGTACTGTAAAGCATTTAAATTTAGTCATTTAGCAGACGCTTTGGTCCAAAGCCACTTACGATTAAGGAAAAACAATAACAAAAACAGTTTAAAGAGCATTTATGAACATTGTCTGAACATTGTACAGGCAATAGAAAAAACATTTATAGGCTCTAGCGTAAAGAAGATGCTCAGGCCCAAAAGCTTTTGAACAAAATGGTTAAAATTATTTGATTGTGCCAACATGTATAATGAGCAATTGAGCTCGCTGGCGTGTTGACTTGCTTAAATGTTTATTTAATTGCTTTGTATATTAATATATGCATGAAAACCAAAATTTTCATGCAACCCCAGATTAACAAAATGACTAAGCCAAAAAGAAAATGAATGAATGAATGAATGAATGTAAATTAAAGTGTTATCAAAAATTGTAGTATCATAATTGATGACCTGTTGATTGATACATTTATAGAATGATATTTGTTTATTTTAGAGAGCCAACTGAACGAGAGGAGTTTTTGCCACACAAGAGTGATGGAGGAAAAACCCCTCAGTTTACAGACGTGAGTGCAGAAATTAAGATACAGCTCATAATTTGAGGCTCATATTAAGGTCAATAAAAGTTTTTTTTTTTTCCCTACCTTCTCGTTCTTTCTTTGTCTGTTTTATCCGCTAGTTTGAAGGAAAGACGTCATTTGGAATGTCTGTCTTCAACCTCAGCAATGCCATCATGGGAAGTGGGATTCTGGGACTGTCCTACGCCATGTCCAACACTGGGATTGTCCTCTTTCTGTGAGTATCCCACAATGCATCACCCATTTGTTTAAACCCTAAATGTCTGCAGTGTAGGTATTTAAGATGTTTTTTTTTTCTGTAAAAAGTTGTATGACGATTTTAACATTTTTTTAAATATAATATATATAAGTATATAATTATTTGATTCTTGAATGCCGTAATTGTCAATTTGTATCTATGTAGAGCATTCAAATTGTGTTATTATATCATGACTTATATGACAAAAACTATCTTGTCCAATTTCCTGTTTACTGTTCATATTTTCTGCTTGTTTTAATAGGGTTTTGTTGACCTGCATTGCTGTTTTGTCATCATACTCCGTGCATCTTCTGCTGAGGAGCGCAGGAGTTGTGGGTATGGAGAAGTTGTGAACATTTCCACTTGATTTCAATAGTATCTGGATGCAGCCCTGATGATGCAAGTTGAGACTGCATATCTCAGTGATGCAATGTCAGATACAATGCAATCAATGGAGCTAGTGACGTCACTGTGAGGGTTAGGGTTAGGGGTGGGGTTAGGTGAGCGCATTAAAAATCATTAGATGCCCAAATTGCACTGCACCAGGTTTGCATCCAGACCCCTCTCTTTGATTCCAATGCCTGTGTTGTAAAAAGGGACTTACATGGTGCTCATTTTTTGTTCAGTACTCTAAAAGTTCTTAAAAAGATAATTCCCTCAAGAATGAAATTGTGCTGTTCCTTCAGATGTAGATGATTGATGTTTATTTTCCTACTTTCGTAATGCATGGAAGATCTTCAGTTGAAACAGAGCCCAAAAACAGCCAGTTAAAATAAAATGTCTTCCTAGTCTGCTCAGGGTCATTTGCCAAGGCTCTGGATTGACTTTAATAACTAAATAATAGTGTCAGATAATAATTAATTAACTTGTTTAAGAGAAAATTTGTGGGAAATGTAATTTTCGGAAAAGCAATCCCTTTATTTGGTATTATTTTGCATTTTTAAACTGAATACAGAATTTTTAATTTGAAACCTTATAATTTAAATGGCAATCTGTGTAAAATATTGTGCTATTTAAAAATAAAGTGTAAGTAAATATAATTTTCTTTAATTTATTTATTTATTTTGACTTTTGCTTTAATAACAGTGATGAATTAATACTTGAGATCACTGCATGTGAAGATTTGTGTCCATCAGGCTGAATCATTAATCACTGTTTTGTAATTTTGTATTTACAGGTATTCGCGCTTATGAACAACTGGGTAAACGAGCGTTTGGACACCCGGGGAAAATACTGGCAGCTGTTGTCATAACGATGCACAACATAGGTGGTAAGTTCTGATCTCATTTACCAAACTCCTTTATCTATTCTCTCCGTAGCTTTTCTCTCCTTTGCAGCATCTTAAAAAGTCTTAAAATGTCTTACATTTTAAAAACAAAATGTTAAGCATTAAAAACCCTCTAATTGACTGAAATATTGTATTGTAGATGTAAAATAAATTTAAACGGGTCTTAATTTCCATTTAAAGTTTATGTAAAACTTTAAATGGACCAATCGATCCAACACACATCCGGCCACCAACAAATACATCTGAATGCAACTTTTACAACAATCTGTTGTGCTTTCATTTAGTTTTTAAAGAGTTTTTATTACTGTTGTTAATTTTGTTTGGTAGTTATTTTGCATATGTACATAACTAAAATATATGTATTTAACTCTGGTCTGCTTGTTTTGACATATTAAAAAATGTGGCTAAGATATAACAAATTAGAATATTTTTTTCCTGATGAGCCATTAAACAATCTTTAGCATTTAGCCCTATGTAAGTCTAAAATTAAATTCCTCATGGTCTTAAACAGTTCTTTGACATTGTGAAACATAGTCCTTCTCTATCTTTAAATACAGTAATGGGTCAAGGTATTCCGATTATAATCTAATATTCGCCCTTAGATTGACATAACATCTGTCTACAATTTGCTATGTTAGTAAGATTGTAGGTGCAATGTTTATTTGCAGCACCTGAAAATAGTCCCCAGCTCGAAAACTAGGCAACTTTTCTGAGTAATGTAATAGCGTCTGCTGCAGCTATGGTACTGCAGTAAAGTTCCTTGATTATTACAGCAAAATAAAAGTACAGTTTCCTGCCATATCAACCTAGAACATAGCAACTTTTAATTTTCCGTCAGTGTTATATACAGCGCAACCACATAACAGTCAAGCTTTAAACAAAAAAATATCAAAACTGTTTGAGCGAGATGCTAATGGTCGAATCCAATTTAGTGATTTATGCTAAGCTAAGCTAAAAGTGCTCCCACCAAACATGGAGATCAAATAAAAGAATTTAAAAATGGTTAAAGTCAGCAGTTTAACTTCAGGGGACTTGTAAACTGGGGGGCTTTTTATTCAAAAGTGGAATGTTCCTTTATGAAACAGTGATGTGATTTAGTAGCAGTCTGCTGAGCCTCGTGAGCAATGCTATATGTGTACACAGTATTTTAGCAGCACTATGTTACATAACGTTCTCTTGCAGACTGTGTAATGAAAGTTTTATTGTCCTGCCATGGGATTTGTATTATAATTGTACTCCGTTCGACTCTAAATTTAAAACCAGACTGACAAGAGTGACCTTAGGGTCGTATAGATCTTTGTTTATTTATTCATGATGCATTGCATATTGTAGTCTAACGTGATATAGCATAAGCAAATGAGCTGTTATAAACTGTATGTCAGTATGATTATTGAATATAATAACCTCTCTTTTGTTGTTTTTCAGCTATGTCTAGCTACCTCTTCATTGTGAAATATGAATTACCTCTGGTCATACAGGCTTTTCTTGGCCTTCAGCACAGCAGTGGGTGAGAAAAACAATCATGCTTTTCCCCGAGTTTTCCTAATGAGTCTAATTTAATCTAGCCAAGAATTGGATAAAATGTTTGGGTCATGCAAGGTAACAGCTGAAGAAGTCCAACCTCGGAGCAGTTCAGATCCTCCAACTGTTGTTCAAAAACATTTGTTATGTTCCTAGAGGAATGTGAGTTGGCTGCTCCTTCACCCTACTCTTTCTCTCTCTCTCTCTTTCTCTGGCTTTCAGTGAGTGGTTCCTAAATGGCAACTATCTGATCATCATTGTGTCCATTTCCATCATCTTGCCACTTGCTCTGATGAGACAGCTTGGTAAGTTTTGTTCAGTGTTTGTTGTGAAGTCACACTCGTCTCATTTACACATTTACATTTAGTTATTTAGCAGATGCTTTGGTCCAAAGGGACTTGGAATTTGGGAGGCATTCAGTGATTTAACAAGAAGAGGCTATAGTACACACAAGTGCTAATTATACAAAACAACTGTTTGAGCTCAGACAAATTAACTGAAAGTTAGGGGGGGGGGGGTTGTTTGTTTTGAGAGAAGGATGTTTCTACAAGTGGTTTGGCAAGCTCACTCACTCAATCTCATCTCATCTTTTCTGATTGCATGTCTAATTGACAATGTTCATAATGTTTTCCTCTCACTTGTAAAAGACAAGTTTGCTTGCTTTGCTCACACACTATAACACTCATAATATATTCAAAATTTGTATAATTTTTATTTTGTTTTAGGGGTGTGTTTAGATGTGTTCAGAAGTTTTGTTTTATAAAACATAACTCCATATTTTTACTATGTTGTTCTTTTATTTATCAATCATCTTTTTAATTAATTAAAAAAGCTTTTATGGGAAGCACATATTTTATCAATATTGATGTAAGTAGGCTTTTCAGCATATCATTTTCTCATAATTAAAGCATCGTTTAATCTGTGAATAGCCAGCATTATCCCATTTGGAATGAATGGAATGTATTTAAATTCCTTTGACTTTACTCATGAACTCAACTCATGAACTTAACTTGAGCAACTCAAGAATGCTTTAAAACATACACATTATTAAAAGCAAGATTCATGCAGCTGTCACTAGACATATATATTCATACTTGACAACAAAACTCAGTCCTAAAAAATGTGTGTACTCTCAAAAAAATGACTTTTGCTGTTTGTTTAAACTATTTATTTAAATCGAGTTGAAACAACACAATTTATAAGCTTTTTCAGGGACAACTTAATTGTTTTCACTTCTGGGGCTGTAATTATCAGTCTTTTCCTTTTTTTTTAATTGTGAAAATTATCATTGAGTTATTCTTTTATTATTTGAACAAACTGAAATGTAAAAAACTATTAAATTGTGGGGATCTCCTATTTACTGCTGTCAAAATATCCAAATATCCAAAATATCCTAAATTACCCAAATATGGTGACTTCCACTGCTGAGAAACTCAGGAATGTGAAAAGGATCTGTTAAAAAAAGTCTACAGATTTCTTGTAGGTGTGACAAATAATTTTTCAAATTAAATGTTTCACTAAACGTTTGCCAGATTGTAGTCTTAAAGAGCAGATTTTTTTATTACTTGAACTGACAATACAAGAACATCAGAACAAAGTCCAAAGGATCACACATAACATACCATTGGGAGAAACGGTAAATAATAATAATAATAATAATAATAATAATAATAATAGTACTAATAGTAATAAAATAATAATAATTATACTAAAATTACAAAATTAACCAAACAAAATCAAACAAATGAATGAAATTACAATGCCACTTAAACAAATAACCATCAGGAAAGCAACTAAAATCGAGGATCTTCTTTAAATACATAATTTATGTGTATTATTAATTATTAAATAATTATAATTATTATTATTATACATATATACATATACATTTTAGGGAGTTAAGATGAGCAAAGGATGCGTAATTATTTACGAATTTCTGTTTGTGATTGAAAAAATTGCCATAAGATATAAAAATGTAAATATGTGTTCCAGGGGTTTTGCTTTTGAGTTATTATAATAAAAATTAATCTCTTTTAGACTAAAGCAATTCACAACATTGGCAGAATCAAATATATGAGAACCTAGGGAACAAAATAGCTTGGAAATTGGACAACTTAAAGAGCAGATCATTATCTCTATTGCACAATTTAATTACACTATCCAGATAAGTTTTGCAATATTTAGACATCTACATGCTGTCTTTGCTCTGTAGAAAACATAATATAATGTTCATCAAATGTCTGTTGCAGGGTACCTGGGCTACACCAGTGGCTTCTCTCTGACATGTATGGTATTCTTCTTGATCTCAGTAAGTGTTATTAAAAGTATTTAATGCTGTGGCTTTTGTGTGGTCTTATAGTTTAAAACATGGATTTTTCTCTCATACACCCTTTGACCTGTTTCATGTTCAGTCATGCTGGCTTTTCAACTCTATTTAAGTAACAGTTGTGTTTTCCAGGTCATCTATAAGAAGTTCAACATCCCCTGTCCTTTTGAAGATTTTTCCAACCACACAGTTGTTTCAAACATATCTATCATTGAGGGTGAATGTGAAGCCAAATTCTTCACCATCAACCAGCAGGTCAGGAACTGTCATTACACAAAAATCTATTCAGGAAGCTCATTTATAGCCCTTTATGACTTGAACCCCAAGCAATTGTCATTGTAGCTGTCGACAGACAGGAAATGCTCAGGACGTAGATGGAAATCGTTACCAAGCAACTAGCAGTTTCAGTAGGGTGACATAACTGTGAAATTGCATGAGATCAGTCGTGGCCTTGTGTTGGTTCAGTCATTCTGGTTGTTTTTCAGACTGCCTACACCGTTCCCATTCTGGCCTTTGCTTTTGTTTGCCACCCTGAGGTTCTGCCGATCTACACTGAGCTACGCAAGTATGCTGACAAAACACTTTTGCTCTCTGTGAAAATATTTTCTCATAATTTTGTTCTTTATGCCTTTTGATATGCAGTAGAATTAAAAATACAATTTTGGGGTCAGAAGGTTTTCTTTTGAATCGTCTGTTCATCAAAGAGTTCTGAAGAAAAAACGATCACATTTTCCACAAATAAATATTAAGCAGTTTAAAAAAGATCTTACAAATTTGAGCTGAAGAAATGTAAAATATTTGCAATACAGTGTTTTACAGTATATAAATATATATATATATATATATATATATATATATATATATATATATATATATATATATATAATATATATTATATATAATAATATTATATATTATATAATAATTCTTGCATATATATACACACACACACATATATATGCAAGAATTATTATCAATAACAACAATAGGCTGATATGCACGCAGGATCAAAAAACACTTTCATTATTCATCTAATAATATGTATTTCATTCATTTTCTTTTCAGCTTAGTCTTTTTATTAATCTGGGGTCGCCACAGCGGAATGAACCACCAACTTATCCAGCACATGCTTTACGCAGTAGATGCCCTTACAGCTGCAACCCATCACTGGGAAAATATGCATTTCTGTTTACCTAATTAATCCAACGACTCCCATACAATTTGTTTAGCATTTCATTTGTTCCTGAACCCCTTCAGAGTATATGTGTGAGCCCAATGCATGAGTGCATTGAAGCAATGCGGTTAAAACCATAAGTAAAAAGAATGATACACATACAGTATTATTCTACACAGCGGCAAAAGCTGAAATATTTTGAAACTTGACTGCCGCACGTGTTGGAACAGCTCACGGTGGCCATAGCAACGATAAATAGCAGAGGATCGCGAGCTCAAAAACACATTTAAATTCGTAAAGAAAGCGGCCCACGTCGCATTTTCAACGTCGCTTTAGATGAGATTTGAGAATATAAAGAGTTACAAGCTAGAGAAAACAAGGAGAAACCCCTTTAAATTGCATTTATACTTGTGAAATGGAGGAAGAAACTGGTTCATGAACAGTGTACTGATAAAGTTCTTGTCAAGCTCTGACAAAGTCCCACACATCATTAGTCTTTTCTGATCTGAACGGCCAAGGAATCCCCCGTTGCAGGGTAGATTATTGCATTAAATACCAGAATGTTTACTCATTAATATTCATTCATCTTCAGTCATGATCAGTCCCACATATGCCTACACACTGCTAACATTTAAAGGGAAAGGTGCGTTCACATTTTACCGGATCTGATACCTCATATTTGGCATTGTTTCATGTCGATACGAACAGGCAAAAGATCCGGACAAACAATGAATCATTTAAATGACTCTAAGTCAAATCTTCTTTTTTTTTAAATCAATATTTTTAAACAAGGTGCATTTTCATATTTTTACCATGGGCTGTATGTTTTCATTTACTAGAGCTGTGTTACACACTGCATTAAAGGTAATTTTCAAAAACACATGATAGGGGCACTTTAAAGCTTAAAATCTTTTTTTTTTTAATGTTTTTGATTAAATAAATGCAGCCTTGGTGACCATGAGACTTTGAAGTGCTCACTGTATAGAGCAGTTTGTTGTCTTTATTTAAAACAGTCAGTAAACCTGTTGCTTAAGCAATTAGTTGACTTTACCTAAAAAAGTGATCGAACCTGTTGCCTTAATATTATTAGGTTTGACCTATGTGCATGACTATAAAATTATATCAACTTAAAAGATCCAATTTAGAAAGGGATTAATCTGCTTGAAGTAAAGAAACGAATCACTTTTTACATTGTAGTAACTACATGTAATCATTTAATATTACATAGTAGTTAAATTAATAGTTACATTGTAACAAAGACACCTTAAAATAAATGGTAACCAACAAATGTTTCAGACAAATTAAATTGCTAAAGGCTTATTAGGGTAAAAAGATAACACATTACATTGAGATATACATTTTATTTATTAGTTATAGCTTGAAACTAAATTTAACTAGGAAAAAAATTGCAATAAATAATTTGAAAAATTGAGTTGGAACTATTAACTTGAAAAAAAATTGTTAAAATTAAGTTCAGATAACTTAAATATATTAAGTTGGGAAAATAATTTGGGGCAATGCAATTAAAAAATTAAGTCCAGTTAATAAACTTAAGTTGCCATTACTGTGTGGAGTTTGCATGTTCTCCCCGTGTCCATGTGGGTTTCCTCTGGGTGCTCCAGTTTCCTCCACAGTTCAAAGATATGCACTATAGGTGAATCGAATAAATTAAATTGACCTTAGTGTATGTGTCTGGATGAGTGTGCTTGGATGTTTCCCAGAACTGGGTTGCCAGGAAGTAAGCTGAAGGAAAAATGAATGAATGAATGAATGAATGAATGAATGAATGATAATAAACTTTAAAAATTTAATTGAGATAACTTATCTTTTTAGGTTAGGAAAATAAACTTTTTTATGCATAAAAAGAAAACTTACTGACCCCAAACATTTAAATGCTAGGCTAAAATGTAACATGAAAGCTGTATGCTATCTATTATTTGAAGTCGTTTAAATACACAAACAGGTCATTGAGAAGTATATTTTGTCAAAAAGGGAAACCTGAGCCCTAAATCTCTTTTATGATTGTTGTTTTGCCACTTCTAGTCCCACAAAGAGACGCATGCAGGCCATCGCCAACGTCTCCATCCTTGGGATGTTTGTCATGTATCTGCTCACTGCCATCTTTGGCTACCTCACCTTTTATTGTAAGCCAGTTTTATTTGCTTTTAAATAGATTATCTCAAATGCAGCATGAACATAAATTATCCCAAATTTTTGATACAATACAGTACCACCACAGAGACTGTCCTTTCACTTTGTGGTTTAGCTTATATAACAGAACTTGTATCTGTTTTCTAGTGTCTGCTTTAAAAATAGCACGGAAGCAGTGGTTAATCTGAATGTTAATCTCTCTCAGTAAACACAGAAGCAGAACTTCTCCACACCTACAGTAAGGTGGATCCTCTAGATACGCTGATCCTGTGTGTGCGAGTGGCTGTTCTGGTGGCCGTGACTCTGACTGTTCCTGTTGTGCTCTTCCCGGTAATGAACCTCTATATTGAAGCTCATTGTGCATTGATTTATGTTTTACTGATTTATATTTCTAAAAATAAAATTAGAATATACTAATTTTAATATACTGTCAAAAATGAAAGGAGTGCTAAACATAAGAAGATATTTTATCCTCATTTATTCTCACTTTTGTGGTTTTAATAGGGTGGCCAAGAGAGGTTAATGTGCTCCAATTTAAGAAAACACGTGCAATTACAAAAAATACCAGCAAACTGCGAAAAGATCTTCATCTGTTTGACAGCATACAAGCTGCAAATCCTCACTATGCAAAGACATTTTTAAAAAATGCGCTGGATTTTCTCCCAACGGAAACAAATTAAGGGCCTACTCACACTATACCATCCGTACCGTGCCCAGGCCCAGGCCCGTTTCCCGGATCGTTTGAGAAGTGTGAGTGCGCTGAATCGGGCTCAAGCACGGTTCACTTTGCCGGCCCTGGCCTGGTTATAATAGGTGGGCCTGAGCGCGGTTCACTTGGGCTTTGGCGTGGTATGCTTGTAGTGTGAGCGCAAAACGCGCCAAAGCCCGAAACTGAAAGTGAGACGTGACTTTTAAGGGACTGTTTCATATGGATTTATTAAGTATTCTTACTATTCAGTGAACGCAAACTGCCGTAGTTTATTAAATACGCAAACCCCTCACTGCACGACAGCTGCGCACCTTCAGCAAACCTCCTCATTCCTGCAGCACAAGAGCTTTATGATTGTTTATGAGCACCAAAAGTGGCGAATCTGTTCGTCGAAATATCTGACTGTGTGTCACCACATCCCTAAGGACTGTTTGGCGAAATATTTGACTGCATGTCACTGCATATCAAACGACTGAAACGATATAACTAGAGGAATCTTCACTGTACTGCTGAGTGAGAGCACTTCTCACTGAACAGCACAGCAGCGATGGCATAAGCATGCCGAGGCCCGATTGTGGTGTGAGTGCGGGCCGTCGGGGGAGACGGGAGGGGGGACAAGCGTGCTTTGGCCCGGTTCGAGGCAACTGTACCTAGTGTGAGTACAGCCTAATAAAACTTGCTGCATTTTCTCCTAATGCAAACAACTGACATTAAAACGTGATGGACCTGGCTATTTAGGTTATAGTTACTTAGGCGAATAAATACTGAAGACATAAGAATCGGTATATTAAAATAAGCAAACAAAAAACTCAACTTTCAAAGATCACTTACAACTTCACTGAGCAACAGCAGCGTCCGTCATATTTTTGGGTTCCCCTGAAATATTTCCGCTGTGTTCCATTCTTTTCTTTATTAAGGTCTTTTCTTAATTTGTTGGTGTTTTTTTGTAACTGCTAGTGCTTTCTTTATTTGCAACACATTAAGCTCTCTTGGCCACTGTATTTTAAACCTGTATGAGTTTATTTCTTTTGTTGAACACAAAAGATAATTTAAGAATGCTGCTTGTCGGCACCCATCAACAGTAGGAATAAGTTCACTAATCCAACCAAAGCATAATTTTTCTAAATGCTTTCTTTTGTGTTCAACATTAGAAAGACAGTCTAATTGTTTTTGAGCAAGTGTAGGGTGAGTAAATGATTGGAGAATTTACATTTTTGGGTGAACTATACCTTTAAAATACACAAAGTGAACATGGCGGTAATTCAACGCCAGCTAATGAAAGGGGTTTGGAAAGTGACTTATTTCACTAGATTAAATACACACTTTAAAAAAGTAAAAAGTAGTTAATATTAGAATACTCAGATCTAGTCACATAAAAAGTTTGACAAACTAACATGGAGTTTGATGTCCACTAACCATGACTTGGTTTTTAATCTGCACAATATTTTTTCTAACAAGTTTTCCATACAATTAACTAAATGAAAAATACTAATCTTTTTTAAACAGTACATTTATGAAAGCTAAAAACACAACACATTAAAAAACCAGGGTGTATACACTTGATGCATAAAAATAATTAGATATTTTTTCTTTTGTGTTAAGTATAACAGTATGTATTATTGTTGTGAGATACAGTAAATATGTATTAAGTGCTGTACAGGACCTGTTTAAGATTAAATAGAAAAAAAACTTAACAACAAATAACTTATAGATAAGATTATATACCAACACACAAATGCAGAACAAAAAAAATTATTTTGATTTATTTTTTATATATTTTTTTGTCAGATTCGCAGAGCCCTTCTTCAGCTTCTGTTCCCTGAAAAGCCTTTCCATTGGGCACGTCACATCTCTATTGCCTTGTGTCTCCTTTTCGTTGTCAATCTGCTCGTCATTTTTGTGCCCAACATTCGAGATATTTTCGGCATCATTGGTAAGTAAATAACCTAAACTGTAATCAAAGTCATTGGTGGCCTAAATGGTCAACTGTATGCTAGGAAAAACAACAACATTCTTAATTCACTATGCAAATATTTTAACGATGCCTTCAATTATACAATTATACATCTACATTCTGAATAATGGGGCTTCTGTCAATGTTATATTAATAGAAGATGACATAATATGTAAAGTTTTTTTTCACACTTTCTGCTGGCAAGTTTTCATGGCTAAAATGTAAAAGTCGATCAGGAATTTTGCACAGGGCTGATAGATTTTCAATGCAGATTTCACAACAGGTTTAGATTGGTCATGTGGACCAACAGAAAGTAATTGGTTGGAAAGTGACTTCTGTGTAAACAGTGCTTCATGAATTGCTACATAACTAACAGTAGACAGTGACCTTTTTTTTCCCTAATTTTGCAAATGTGACTTTTTTTGTTTCAAAGGTGCGACCTCTGCTCCGAGCTTGATCTTCATCCTACCCGGTCTTTTTTACATCCGTATCGTTTCCCCTGAGCAAGAACCAATGAACTCAAGACCAAAAATTCTGGTGAGTCTCAAGCTTTTTCTGCTTCCTGCATCGATACATGGTTAAAAACAATCACAATATAATCGCTACATACAGCTGTATTTAAAATGAATCAACCCCCTTGATCCACAAGTCATTCGGCCACTGTGAAACTCTTGGAGAAAATTGTTTATATTTGAGTGATTTTAAAGACATACATTTCGTTAAAAAAAAAAAAAGTAAACCAAACCAAACTAAACAAAAACAAACTATCAAATCATCTCTTCCAAGCAAGCACCTTGATGTCAAAACCACATAAGAAACACCAAAAATGTAAATTGATTTGATGTCTAAACCTTGACATCCATTTGACCTCCACGCGTCGATGCACTTTTGACCATCAAAATAAAAACAAAAACATTATAATATAAGAAAGGCGTTACTCATCTGAAAGCTTTAATTACAAATTTACACTGGATTTTGTCCCTACAATGTATGTAAACTACCTTGATGTCAAAATGACATCAAATTAACATTTAAATGAATCATCAAAACGTTTTTGACGTCATTGTCAGTTCAATTCTATTCATCTTTATTTCTATTGCACTTTTACAATGTAGATTGTGTCAAAGCACTTAACAAATAAACTCTAGTAAATTGAAACGGTGTCAGTCCAGTTTTTAGAGTTGAAGTTCTGTTTAGTTCAGTTCAGTGTGGCTTTTCACTGCTGAAAGTCTAAACACTGAAGAGCAAATCCGTTGATGCACATCTCCTCAAGAGGCAAGGAGCAAAACTTCAATTAAGGAAAGTGAATGAAAAAAACCTTGAGAGAAACCAGGCTAAGTTGAAGGGCACGGCCATTTCTCCTCTGGCCAAACTTCTTGTATAGAGCTGCAGTCTTGGCGCTGGAGAACGCCTACGTCCATTGTGGAGAATCTTGATGTTAGTAGGTCACCGTGGGTCTTCAGGCTGGCCCACGGGATCCATGTGTAGACTTATTAGTCACTGGGGTCTTTCAGGGATCGGTCTCATGCTCTCCAGTCCTCCATGACCGCCACAGCATCTGCTCAGGATACGGTTATGGATACCTCTAGAAATCCTCCTTAGTTGCCATCATCTCTTAACGGGTCACATTCTCTAGAGCCTTAGGATGAGTATCCCAAAGTGGAAATAGGTAGCAAAGAAAATAATTAGCGTAGCAGCTGTTTATAGTGTATTTAATCAAGAGACATTAAACATCAAGGCAAAAATAAAGTGTTAAAAATATAAAGTTATTTGTCAGTCTGAACATCTCTCCACTAAATCTCCCCCCCAAACTTATAAATTTGTTTCCGTTTCTGAGGGGTTGAATAATTTTGTACCTGTACAGACTGCAGCTAAATGTGGATGTCACTTAGAGCTAAATTCTTCCAGATGTCGTCATCTTGTTCTTCTTGTGTTTCAGGCGGCCTGCTTTACTGCTCTGGGCTTCATCTTTATGACCATGAGCTTGACATTCATCACACTGGACTGGGTCTACGGAGAGAATCGAAGTGGAGGAGGTCACTGATCTTCAACCACGATATTGTAAGGGTCCAAACAGCCTTCTTAGAGGAACACCATCACCCCTTTGCTCTCCCGAATGTGAGAGAAACCAAAACATCTCTTAGGCTGGACCCAACTCGCCTCAGATCCCACTGAGTAAGGAAAGGACTGACGTCCTGCCATCTTTCAAATACAATGGATAAATCCTATGATGTTTCATGGTGGAGGATTTCTGGGGGACACAGAAATGTCATGCTATTTTGAGGCCGTTTCTATCGGCTTCATAACATTAAATGATGTTTGTGTTGGAGATGGAGGCCCGCTATATAGCTTTAAAATAATGCAAGAGATACAGCAGAAGCCAAACTAGATGACTGGAGAGGTTCGTTTTATTGTCCGATGGAGGCTAGGAAACAATCAGGTTCATCACCAGTCGCCAGTTTTCTGTTGTCCCCATCAAATGTAAGCCATATTCTCAGAGTGCAATAGCTGGGAAATTGATACACATTTTCCTTCTTCAGCTGGTTCATCCAAAAATGTTGCTTGTGATAAGAAACTTCAACCTCATCTCATACAGTCTTGTACTGAATCTGTCAGTTTCTTTTATATCTGAGAATCAAACTGCTGAAATTCGAGGTGTGAAATTGAATTAAGGGGAAAAATTCACTTGAGATTAAAAGGGTCTTATAATAGAAACTGCACTACAAATGGAAACAGACAATCAGCTTTATACCGTTTCAGTTTTTTCCTTTTCTGCTGGATATCATTTATTTTGTTCAACAAATGTGAGGTACGTACAGTTGCAGTATTTCGTTGTGCCATGGGGTGAATTGCCATCTATGGTTTCAGAAGAGGAACAGGTGGAAAACTACATTTAAGGTGCTTATTATATTACTGAGATGGAATCTAACATGTGAATTTACTGATTCAAGCCATATTTCCATTGGTCAGTCACAATCTAACACAACATCCATGAAAACGAACACATTCGTGGAAGTTCATGGATAAGTAAACTAGCAAATTGTCTCTAGATTAGTAAATGTAAAGAGCCAAAAAGCAAAAAAAAAAAAAGAAAGAAAGAAAGAAACACTGACCACACAAAATATATTTATTTTCCGAAAATACTTTTATTTTTTATAATAATAATAATACTTATTATTATTATTATTGTTATTATTATTATTATTATTATTATTATTATTATTATGTGCAGTGCAGGCAAAAAAAAGTCTTAGACTTTTAAATCCTGTTTAAACTGGTAAAAATGTAAATGTAAAATGTTCACGTTTTTGCAACTCAAATGCTGAATCAGGCCAAAACATTTAACATTCTCAAACTCTATTTAACTTAGCAATTAAATTGTTCTGCTGAATAATAAACCTATTAAAAAGAAAGCAAGTAAAAGCCATTTTGTTAGCTATTTTAAACACTAGCTTTTAATGCCAAAGCATCAACAATTGGCCAAACCCTTTTAAACTTTAAATAACAAAATTTTGATTTTAATTTGACATGATTTTGCATGTCGTTGAATGGCGTTTTTACCTCCCGCTCCTCTATAGACTGAGACAATGCTGTTCTTAAATGTGATTTGATGGCAAAGCATGAACTCCAGAGCATTGCTAATAGCATTAAAAGATAGCAGTCCCCCTTCTCTCAGACTTGCCACTGTCCTGCAATGCCTGTTTATTTTGTTACAGAAGTAATTACACCATTTCGATGACTCTGTTTGTTAATCTAAAAACTGGTGCCAAAAATGTATGAGGTTAAAGATTGACGGTTCCAATGTGAAACACAAACACACCAAAGAGAGCTGGCAGTTGAACAAGTGCCTTTTTCTACTGCTTTTACTTTTGTTTGTTGTTGAACTGTCTTGTTTGAACTCACTTTGACTTTGTCATACTTGCCATTATAAATAAAAAAAACTGTGTGGTCAGTATTGTGAAGTGCGATATGTGTTTATTTAGTTATTGAGTGTGTGTGAATACAATAGAATGTATAATGTCTGTTTATTTAAATTACTTATTACATATGAAATTACATACTAAATAATGCAAATTAAATACCTTTTTACACCCTTTTACAAAACCCTTATTGATATTTTTTTTTCAGTTGCATTTGTACATTTACTTTGTTAATGTTCACAATTATATTTTATCAACTATATATTGTATTATTTTGCTTTATGTTGAGATTTTATAAGTAAAACATTACTATTTTAGTATGTATTACCTGTTGAAGATTTATCATATGATTTAGTTTGAATGATTGTTTGATTTTCAGTTTTCTATTTAGTTAAAGTTTTACCATTTTTTTGTGTATTTGTGTTTATGTACAAATGTTTAACATCTTTTAGATTTATTAATTTGTTAAAAGTGTTTAGCTATTTATTTAAAAAACAAAAAGAAAATGCTTTGCCATCTACCTTTTTATTTTTATTATGCATCTTTATTTGTTTGTTTGTTTACTGTATTAATTAATTAATTTATTTATTTTTGCCAGATGAAATTTACTTCAATTGACAAAAATAAAATAAAATATTTAATATATAATATGTTCAGGTTTTGTAAAGTTATTCCTAAATTATTCCTGGCATTTCCTAAATATAATATAATATAATATAATATAATATAATATAATATAATATAATATAATATAATATAACATAATATAATATAATATAATATAATATAATATAATATAATATAATTTAATATAATATAATATAATGTAATATAATATAATATTTCCCAAATTATGTTTAACAGAGCAAAGAAATCTTCACAGTGTGTCCGATAATATTTTTTCTTCTGGAGAAAGTATTTTTTTTAATTTCAGCTGGAATAAAAGCAGTTCCTAATTTTTAAAAACCCATGATTAGCCCCTTTGAGCTAATTTTTTTTTTTTTGATAGTACAGAACAAATATTATGTTTAGAAATGTGTTGAAAAAAAATTATCTCTGTTAAACAGAAATTTGGGGGGGGGGGAATGTTAGGGGGAATAAACGTGTGCTAATAACTCAGGGGGGCTAAATCTAATTTCAACTGTATGATTTCAACTGTATATATATATATATATATATATATATATATATATATATATATATATATATATATATATATATATATATATATATATGTATATGTATAAGTATAAAAGCTCCACCTTTAATCTCTGTCTGAAGAAACACGTGTCTGTCCACAGCATTCTGAGATCAGTGGTTTTGTTCTTCCTGTTCTCTTTCACATCACGTTACAAAACACGGAAGCAAAAGTTCCTTCGAACTGTTTGCTGTCACAGAAAGACTTTAGGCAGGTACACTGTGGGCCAAGTAGGGGCCCTTAGCGTGGAGTCTCAGGATCCTATTGTCCACTTCAAGCGGAGATGAGCAAAGGCAAAAGCAAAGGGCAGGAGAACGTGTCGAGTTCTCTCCTCAGCAGCCTGGAAAATGAACGCCTGCAAGAGCTGCTGGGCAGGAGATGTGTGGTAAGTCAACACACTTTGATTAGAAAGAAAATCACAGATTCTCTCCAGCAGAAGATTAAAAACAACATTTTTTTTTGGAGGAATAAGTCAGTCTAATGTGGAAGAGAAACATCTAGAGGACTCAAGAGGAGAGAGACAGATCATCTGGTGCATAGATGAAACTGGAGTTAAATCAGTTAAAGGTCAAAGTGACATTTAGCACTGCAAGGTTCTCTGTGTAAAATGGATAAGACGAAACACTGCAAACAAACAATGTTTATACTTAAAAAGTGTTTAATTATTTTTTTTTTTTTCAAAATTTGGGTAAAATATTGACCAACCTAAAATTTTGGAAAAAATTCATAATTAAAAAAAGTAATTTGACCAAAACTTCACCCAAAAAATGACAAACTCCTTTTTTATATGAGTTGAAACAGCAGAATTATTTAGTTCTTTTGGGCTAAGCTAATTATTTTATGTTCAATCCACCTAATTTTGTAAAACTTAAAAGTGAACTTTGTAGATTTGTGTTGGTACAACATAAATGAATTGTGTGGAACCCAGCATTTTTTACAGTTTTTGCTTAAAATTAACTTGCTTTTTTTGTGTGTGTGTGTGTGTGTGTGTGTGTGTTTATAAAACTTGTCAGAATTAGCTTTGGCAGCTAAACAAAAACAAAGTAATTTAAATTCACAATTATTTCCTGTTAAGATATTGCAAACTTCAAAACATCATGAGCTAATCTTCTTGCCAATGTACAATGCACAATTTAATTTTAATTTTTATTTTTATTAACGATTACTGAATGTGACTCAGGTTTAACTGGAGAGAGACGACAGGAAATGAGTTTGAGGCCACTTCCTGTTGCTGTAGAGGATGCTGATTTCTGTGCTTGAGCTTTCATAGTGATGCTTCTTTGATGAATCTTTGATTAATGTAAGTTTAATGTGTTTGTGCGCAGGCTATGGCCACGGCAGTTGTGCAGTTATACATGGCCCTTCCTCACAGTCCGACCGAATGGAGTCTCCAGCATACAGGAGTCATGTGTTTCGTAAAGGACAATCCCAGACGTTCATATTACATCCGGCTCTTTGACATTATGGTTAGAAAAAAAGGAAATTTTCTACATGTTCTTTAATTATGAGAAGTTGTTTACAGAACGTATGCAGACAGAGATGCTTTTAATGCTGTTCTAAGTTAATAAAATAGTCCAATGAGATGGTAAACTGATTTGAAATGATTTCTGTTAACACGACCGTAGATGACCTGGGAGCAAACAGGCTAAACTTAAATAAAGATACACTTCTGCTTTGAAATTTGAGTCACAGCTGCTCAATTTAACTCATGAGGTCTCAGTCAAAGGACTTGGGCTTTGATACAGTAAGCTTTTGTGTTTATTGTTAAAGCATTTTTCTCTTTTCAGGAAGCGAAAGTGGTTTGGGAGCAGGAGCTGTATAATCAGATGACATATTCCTGTCCGTTGAGGTTCTTCCACACTTTCGCAGCCGATGTGGGTACAGATTTCTACATATCTTCAATCCTCAAATTCTCACTTTTACCCAAAAACTCAACACTGGTTTAAGTAACTGCTACATTATTACACCACATCATGAGAAATGTCTAGTGTAAATCAGTTCTCAATATGTTTTGTGGTCCTTAACAACATTAAAAGGCCCCATCATTTTTCTAGAAAACATTTTAACATTTTATTGTGTCATTTACTAGGTAAGGGTCAAGTTTTTACAGTCTTCGTTTCAACATGATATTAGTATTTCAAAGAGTGGCATAAGAAGAAATATGCATAATCATTATGAATAGTCTGAAATTAAGCTTTTAGTAGGCTATATACAGTAGCTTTAATATTTACTAGCATAAATTGTTAGGCAGAGCTCATTGATATTTACACTAGATGTCGCTTACACAGTTGTTGTCTATTGGAAGGAATGAGTCAATAGATCCACTGTTTTAGTATAGGGTAGCGCTCCTTTTAAATGAATGCAATGCCAAGCTGCAGTGGAGGACTGTGGCCATCCAGAGCCATAGATATATACACATATATGCATATATCTATGTTCAGAAGTTTTCCCAGTGGTCATTATGCAAATACTTTTTAAATTACAAAAATTATAATTTGACATCACTTTTCTACATCGATGGATAAGTGAGCGCACGGGCATTGTAACAAAGAGCGTGTGTTTGTGTGCATGGGAATGTATTATCCTCCCTCCCTGTTAAATTTGATCTAATCCGTGTCCTGAAACACACCCCCTCTCCTGCTTTCACGTCTCATTCTACCGGAGGGAGCGGTTCGTTTGTGAACGAATCTCCATTATGAACGACTCGTTTTACTTAGCTGTCAATAATACACGTTTCTAGCACCGCAGCGTTTTGTTGTCATATTTCATTTGCATTGTCTGTTTATTTTATTTAACAAAACTAGCATAAGCCTAGAAGTGTCATCTCCGGGAATCATCCACAAACACATTCACACACACAATCATACATTCCAAACAATTTAGCCTACCCAATTCACCTGTACCGCATGTCTTTGGACTGTGGGGAAAACCGAAGCACCCGGAGGTAACCCATGCGAACGCAGGAAGAACATTCAAACTCCACGGAGAAACGCCAACTGAGCCAAGGCTCGAACCCGCGACCCAGCCACCTTCTTGCTGTGAGGCGACAGCACTACCTAGTGCGCCACTACGTCGCCCTCCACAGTAATGTGTACTCTACATTTTTACTCTTACATTTTTGAGGAACGCAGCAATAAAACAAATTACATTTTAACTTTGTGTATTTTGATTACAGTTATTAGAGTCCATGTAATTGCAATAATTACGTTATAAGTATAGTTTTTCTTTTGAATCACATTTTCCGCTGCCATGTCAGTTAACAAGCGTACGCTTTTAAATTGCTGGAGAACGTGAGCTGAAATGGTTGCTGACGAAAGTGCCCAGACAGCATACAAATGTGGACCACTTTAGGCAGTTATGCGGCACTAGTGGTCATCCTTTGGCCCAGACAAAATGAATGTGAGCCTGAAGTGGCCCACCTGTACAATGGCAAAAGGGAGCCAAAGATTCCAATTCATATATGGGTCATTTAAGGCAAAGATTTGGCACTTATGGCAAAATGTAATCTGAATGCGAGCCTAATGTGGCCCATGTTGAAAATGGAAAATTTGGCAAATGAGGGTCACAGTTGGAAAAAATGTGGCATAGTCATTTAGGGGTAATTTGGGTCTAAACCCAAATTGACTCACAATACTCGTCGCCAAGGAGGACAACGGCACCCATAAACACGGCAGCCCAATTCAGCCTAAACAGGCTCAATTGAAATTTAGTGCGCTTGCATTTCCCAGGTACACCCTGATGAAAATTGTGTCACAAAGCAAGAACTGACCGATCAACTTCATACTGTATTTTGGAATAAACTTATTTTGGTAGATATTTACTTCAGAAAACACAGAAGTTTGGAACAAGTGAATGATGAGAGAATTTTGAGTTTTGGGAAAACTATTTAAGTCTTTTTAATATGTCAAGCTGCTGTGATCAACCCATTGTAATGTTTTTAAGTGAATATTAAATTACTGAAAGAGCTGCAGTTTATTTTTTTATTTTTATAGGTGTATTTATGTTTTAAAAGTAATTTCAAAGTAAAGTAATTAATAATCTGATTGCTTTTTTACATGAAGTAATTAGTTATGTAATCAGATTACAATTTTTGGTCCTGCTTTATATTGTTCCTTATACCTGTGTATTTATATGGGAACTAGATTTGTAAGTAGTTTGTAACTACAGTGTATGTACACACTGGTACATAGTATTTACTTGCAATACGGGTGTAACTACACATGTAACAACACACTGAATAGTATGCTTAAGTTCAAATGTGTAACAGGACATTGGTAACAGCAAAAAACTACACATCTGTAAAAAGAATTACATAAGTGCATTATGTAAAAACAATATGTACTTGCAGGTATTTTCCCACCTGTTTGCATTCCATGTACTTCTGAACACTATTTGAGAATAAGAATGGCAGAACTAAGGCTGCATTAGAAGGTTTCACCTTGTGATACCAGTGTAATTACAGGGTAAATCCTCAGGAACTGTCCACTCAATATAAAGTGTGAAATGGTCACAAATTACTATGTAATATATAAAACTTAAGCTTTAGTGCAACTTTTTAACAACAGCAAACTTCTGCCAAAAAAGTATAAGTGCATATAGAAATATACAAATGCCTTATGTTCATATGTTTTATAAAGGAAAATTATAGAATCGCATCAGTAATTCAAATTAAAGGGGTAGTTTATCAAAAATTGTGTTATTAATGTCCTGTTACATTATTTGAACTTACTGATACTATTCAGTGGGTTGTTACATGTGTGAAGTTACACCAGTATTACACAAGTAAATGCTATTTATATACAATGTAGTTACAAACTACTTACGCATCTAGTTAATGTGTAAGTTCACAGGTAAAAGCGACAATATAAAGTGGGACCCAATTTCCAGTATAATCAGTAGTTTGTAATCTATTACTTTTTTAAAGTAACGTACCCAACACTACAAGATACTTGCAGAAATGACATTCGCAAACTAAATTATGAGCTGAAGTACTCAAACATTATTATCATGGTAGTATGAAGCAGAGAAAGGCCGGAAAGCAACTTGAATTGCTGAAGCAACTACTGATGAGAATCATGTATAATGTATATTGTATGCAGCACAAAAGCAGAGGAGAGGTCATGATCATACAAGAGACTTTTTATAGTTTTGTTATAATGCAGCTCTGAGCAGTCTAATAAAATGCACAACATTTTATAGCATATTTGGTGTTTTCCTGTTTTCTATAAAACTAAAGTGGAAATCAAGGTTGTGTAATTCCATTAACATGGCAATAATAAACATGTTTTTTTTTTACTAGACAGAAAGTTTTGAGGTTGTGAAACTTACAGGATGTTTTTATACAATGATCTCTTACATGACAAAAGATAAAGCAAATTTAGATTTGTCATGTTCAAGTTCTGTCTTTGATATGTTACATGCTGCAGTTCACTTGCCACTGGTCTTCGAATTTTACTCAAAGCTGCTTTAATGCTCATTGTATGTTTTTTTTTTTTACATTTGAAGTCAAGTTAAAGCCCCCTCTGAAGTATAATAAGGAAATTTAGCGATCCCCAACCACTCAGTTAATTTAAAGCCACTGATTTAAACTTAAACTGTATCAGATTTTTATTTCTGGCAGCAAAATTTAAATCTCACCAACTGAAAGATCTAATATATTGAAATGCTTCTTCTGTTTCAGGACTGTCAAGTAGGTTTGAACTTTGCCAGTGAGACAGAAGCCGACCTGTTCAGAAATATCACAGAAGAAAAGATTAATCAGAGAACAAACCGCCAGGGTCAGTACCTGTCACTCACATCTGCTCATTGTTATTCATAAATACATGCTCAAATATAAGGGTTTTATTAATATCATTTTGTGTCTGTTTTTACATTTAAATATTTAGAAAAAAGACAGCATGCTCCATCTGAAGGTATGCATCTAGAGTTTAAACATACACTTGGTCTGAATTGTAATATTAGAATGTAAACAATGGTTTTATTTTGATCAACAGATAAACGGCCGCTACCACAAATCCCTCCACCAAATGGTGAGTCACTTTTAAAAGATTTAAATCCCTCAGGCACAAATGACATGCATTTTACTCATCCTCATGTCATTTCAAACAGACTTCTGTGGAACTCAAACTAGTTTTTCCACACTGTAAAAAAGAATTGCCTGCACATCATTAGTGTTTTGCATTTTATTACATTATTGTATCACAGCAAGGAACATTAATCTCTGCTCTGACTTATTTTGATTTTGATAAATTAGAAGCACTTTACAATAAAGCTCCTTCAGATATTGTTGATAAATTTACTACATAAATTAAACAAGGAACAATAAATTTCTTACAGTATTTTCTCCTTTTTCCTAATGTAAATTAATGAAAATAAAACTAAATTTTTTTGTCACACAACTTTGAATTTTATCAAATGCATTAGTAAATGTTGAAAATAACACAAACGCTGTTATGTTGCGTTAAATGCTGTACAATTGTTGTTCATTCTAAGATCATGTCAGCAAATACACTCACCGGCCACTTTATTAGGTATACCTGTCCAACTGCTCTTTAACGCAAATTTCTAGCCAGCCAATCACAGCTCAATGCGTTTAGGCATGTAGACATGGTCAAGACAATCTGCTGTAGTTAAAACCGAGCATCAGAATTGAGAAGAAAGCTGATTTAAGACTTTGAATGTGGCATGGTTGTTGGTGCCTGGCGGTATATGAGTATTTCAGAAACTGCTGATCTACTGGGATTTTCACGCACAACCATCTCTAGGGTTTACAGAGAATGGTTCAAAAAAGAGAAAGTATACAGTGAGCGGCAGTTCTGTGGACACAAATGCCTTGTTCTTGCCAGAGGTCAGAGGAGAATGGACAGACTAGTTCCAGTTGATAGAAAGGCAACAGTAACTCAAATAACCACTCGTTACAACCGTGATATGCAGAGGAGCATCTCTAAACGCACAACACGTCCAACATTGAAGCAGATGGGCTACAGCAGCAGACCACCACGCTGGGTGCTATTCCTGTCAGCTAAGAACAGGAAACTGAGACTACAATTCACACAGGTTCACCAAAATTGGACAATAGACGATTGGAAAAACATTGTCTGGTCTGATGAGTCTCCATTTCTGCTGCGACATTCGGATGGTAGGGTCAGAATTTGACTTCTATAACATGAAAGCATGGATTCATCCTGCCCTGTATCAAGAGGTCAGGCCGGTGGTGGTGGTGTAATGGTGTGGGGATATTTTCTTGGTTACTTTGGGCCCATTAGTACCAATTGAGCACTGTGTCAATGTCACAGCCTGCCTGAGTATTGTTGCTGACCATGTCCATCCCTTTATGACCACAGTGTACCCATCATCTGATGGCTACTTGTAGCTGAATAATGCACCATGTCGTAAAGCTTGAATTATCTCAGACGGGTTTCTTGACCATGACAATGAGTTCACTGTACTCAAATGGCCTTTACAGTCACCAGATCCTAATCCAATAGAGCACCTTTGGGATGTGGTGAAATGGGAGATTTGCGTCATAGATATACAGCCAACAAATCTGCAGCAACTGTGTGATGCTATCATCTCAATATGGACAAAAATATCTGAGGAATATTTCCCGATCCTTGTTGAATCTATGCCACGATGGATTGACCCGGTCTAACCCGGTACTAGTAAGGTGTATCTAATAAAGTGGCCGGTGAGTGTATATTAATTAACATTAACTAATGGAACCTAACTGTAAAGTTTAATGCATTGATCAGACTTGACATTTTAGTTCTTTGAAACAATAAATAGTTTGAGCTGGTCATGTGAATTATGATATAAAAATACCGTAAGATGCCTGTAGTTTCTGTGATTTTACAAAATTTTTTCTAAATATACTTTTTATACAATAAATTGTTTAAAACTATTCAAAATATTAGCAAAAATAATTTAGTTATACTGCACAGATGAATCAAATGCTGTTCAAGCAGAGCTCAAGATCCCATGAAGCAAATTGAAAGTGTAAATCAACAGGAAACACTAGAGTTTCAAGCAACGGTTATCCACATATTTTTAGTGTCACACTTTAGTAATGTATTTAGCAAGTAAAACTTGTCATCCCTCTTTCATCAGTCTCACTCTTCAGTCTCACTCTCTCACAAGCTTTGTCCTAAAGCAACTACTGTATGTTTAGTGGTTGGCAGGCAGGCTGCGATAATTACACTTATTGCTACATACATACTATTTCAGACCGAGTAGCATGGTAAAAAATATAGGGATAGCATCACAGGTTGTCATTGCTCAAAAATGAACCAATGTGAATATACAACCAGCTTCACCTCAGTAAAGCAGGCTAGGCGGAATAGCGCTGTTTACTGATGTTTTGTTGTTAAACTAAGTAAAAATTTTCATTATCGATGCTTTAAAAGGCCTTATGAAACTGAAAATAGTCGCATCAATCGTTCGCCGGAAGATTTCAGTGGCTGAACATCACTTCTGTGCATTTAACCTATTTATAACAACAAAATCAACATCAGCTTTTTGTGACTAAAAGAGTTTTACAACATTACATTACCTGTCTAAAAGAAATGCTCCAGCCATGGTGTCGTCCTTTCTCCAGCGTGCAAAACTAACTCCAATATTAATTCAGGATTAAGTGTTGATTTGATCAGCATTTGTTTTTAGCGCTGTCATTCATGTCCACATGACCGCAGCACGCGTAAACTCACATCAGTGGGCCTGTGTGAATGGGTGCGCAGTTGTTCAAATCTACATTTGCTGACAGACAGTTTGGGCTACTTAACAGAATTATTGCCCGGCATTATTTAATTGAAAATTTAAATGAACATTTTTCTAATGTTTTAATGTGACTTTCACCTACTGCATGTTAAACTACTGGCTTATTACCTGCTTGACATTTATATAATAACTGTATATTAGTAGCTATAAATAGGCCCACATAGAATCTGCACGCACAGAGATCCACAAATTTCCGCAGATTTTTAGCCCATCACTGAGTCTATTTGTTTACTTGTGTAAATGTGTGTATTATTCATTTCAGTAATTTTTTTGAAAAATATGAAAATGTTCATATAATTTTTTTACAATACAGTTTATAATGTAATACTTTGTCTTTTAGTAGACGTATCATATGAGAGACTTGCTTTACCAAATAAATTGAATTTGCTTTGTAAACATTAAATAAAAGTTAAAAATATATTGTTTTTGTTTTTATATATTAAGTTTTTAGTTATGATACTCTCAAAATCATCCACATAAATTTTTTTTTTTTATTATTATTTTTTAACAAAATTCTCAGCAGAAATAGCAAAAAATGTCTGCAGATTCTGTCTGACCCTGGATATATAGGTATATGATCTTATTTTACATCCTTAATCCTCCCAAAAAACCTAATCCCAACTACTACCTTAATAAGCAATAATAAGCAGTTAATTAGCAATTCATTAAGCTAATAAGCTTAGTTAAGGGATTGTTATTAGCATGAATTAGGTGGGGGGGGGGGGGGGGGGGGGGGGGGGGGACTATGTTTTAAACATCCAAAAGTGTTTAAACTTTATTTTGTGCCTTAACCAGGTCCAGTTTCACAGCCAAGTGTAATGGCCACAGTAGACATCCAGAACCCAGATATTGTGGCATCAAGGTACCGCTCAACCTCAGTGCCGACCCCTGCACCAGCCTGCATCACCACTGGCAAAAAAGACAAAAAAGGAAAGAAGAAAGGCCCAAAGCTCACTAAGGCAGACATCGGTGCTCCTAGTGGATTCAAGTAAGATGACTGAACACTGTTTTTGCTCTTTTTGTTTGACGTGATGCTGACTATGCCTTTCCCATCCTTATCAGACACGTCACTCATATTGGGTGGGATCCAAACTCTGGCTTTGATGTGAGAATTTTTTTTTCAATAATGCATAAAGCAAATTTAGTCATAAAACTGATGTTCAGTGCTTCTTCTATGAAGTTTAAATGTAGCATGTTAACATTTTGACTTCCCTAGACCAATAATCTCGACCCTGACTTGAAGAAACTGTTCAACATTGCTGGTATCAGCGACGCACAGCTGGCAGATAAAGAAACATCTAAACTTATCTATGACTTCATCGAGCAGTCTGGAGGTCTAGATGCAGTAAAAGAGGAAATGAGGAAACAGGGTGAGCTCATTTTAAAACTACAGTTTCGTCTTTGTTTTCCATTTACATTTGGACTGTTTAAAGGATCACACTGTTAAAATGAGTTTTATTGGCCTTATTTTAGAAGATTAAACTTTCCATTGATTCATAAAAGTGACTAATGATGGACTATTTGTTTTCATTGTAAAGTACACACAATTATAGTCTGAAAACATAGATATTTGGAACCATGTCAGATATTTCAGTATAGATATGCATAAAAATATATAAAGAATCTATAATATTATTAACAGTACAGTGTAATTCCCCAAACATTCAGACTGAGCTCATTCACAGTTGTTTGTTATGATGATCTGCTATTCAAAGCTGCTAAAACCACGCAACTTGCTCCTGGTTTAAATATTATGGCTTTTTTTTTTTTTTTTTGGTCTGTTTACTCTCTTTATAGACTACCGAAATGTAAGTCAAAGGTTTTGATATCAGTTCAAATACTCAGTTATGTAAAAATTGCTGTGTAGAATACCTACAGCTGAAGTTGTTTCAGGTAAAAGTAAAAATAGAGCTAAAAAAATACAATCAAAAAAGTAAAAATACCCCAAAATTACTCTTCAGTCACAGTAAGGCCAGTACTTTCCACTCTTGCATATAGCATCACTGTTTTCACAAAAGCATAGATATATATTGGCACAATAATATGTCCCAGTGGTACTGTTTTTGTAAAGTTAAATGTTTAGGCCTCAAAAATGCTGTTGCTGTGTACATGAACAGCCAAAACGAACATGTTTTCATTTTTCAGAAAAGTCTTCTTATGTAAAATGATTTTTAAATCTGTTTTCATCGTGCCCTTTGATAATACTTAGTCATTCTGACTCTCTCTGTCCAGTCCCAGGAGGTCCTCGTTCTGCTCCTGCACCTCCTCCACCTCGTGGTGGGCTTTCCTCAGTCCCTGGACCAACCGGACGACCTCCACCACCATCACGCAGTCCGGGACCCCCACATCGTGGTCCACCACCCCCTGCGCCACATTGTAACCGCTCTGGACCTCCACCACCACCACCACCTAGCCAGAGTCACAAACCACCTCCTCCACCTATGGGTGCATGTGCTCCTCCTCCACCACCGCCTCCACCTCCTCCACCTTCCTCGTCCGGTAACTTCTCCAGTAGCCCCGTAAGCTCAGCTCCACCTCCTCCTCCCCCCTCTGGTGGTGGTGGTGGGGGTGGAGGGAGAGGAACTTTACTGGAGGAAATTCGGCGTGGACGTGTGCTAAAAAATGTATGTGAGACATTATCATGTAAAAAAAACGCAATGCACTTTGTTAAATTGTTAATATACACACACACACACACACACACACACATAAATATATATATATATATATATATATATATATATATATATATATATATATATATATATATATATATATATATATGATTCTCTATTATGACAATATATATGGTGTTTATCTATTAGGTGTCTGAATCCCCGGACCCCAACCCTCCAGCTCAAGAGGAATCCTCAGAGGGAATTGTGGGAGCTTTGATGATGGTGATGCAGAAAAGGAGTAAAGTTATCCATTCATCAGGTAACTCATTTAATAAACCTCACAGTCAGCATGAAATGGAAGCTAAGATTGTCCTTTCCCCCCTATAGTGACGTTTATCCTTTAAAGATGGTTTCTGAAATAAAAATAAAAGGTAGCGTGGTGCAAGATTTGATACTGATTGTATCATTAGAAGATCGGTGTTGCAAACAAAATGGAGGCGCATTTGAATGCCAGTTTGTACCCAGTTATGGAGGACTTTACTGTCCACCAAATAAACCATCTGCATCCGCTAGTACAGAATCTTTTCATTTCCCCAATGATGGCAAGAAAGAGAACCTAAATTTCACAAATGGATCAGATCATATTCACTTGAAACCACTGCCTCCTACAAAGGATATGAGACACTTCTGTAACCAGAAGGGAAGAAAAGTTTGAGGGGGGAGGAAAGCTTGAGGTATTTAATTAATAATTATAAGGGCAAATCAATTTTTAAAAAACAATGAAGAACATAGATACTTTGTTTTTGACAAGCTCTGTTAAAAACATCTCAAAATATTTATTTTTATTTCATGCTCATTTTAAAGAAGTAAATAATCAGCTTCTTTCAAAAACATGACTATGTTAATAGGGTGCATTATAACCTAAACTAACGCTTAAAAGCAAATCACATTTTTCCTTTTTACTAGTTTCTGTTCTCTTAAATACAGCAAGTTGACTTTATGGTTCTATAAAGCCCTTCCCTCGCAAATAATGGGTTCTGATTCGCCAGCAGGCTCAGTGTGTTCTGACTGGTTTACCACCTAGTCAATAATGAATAAAACATCACTCTGAGCTGCAGGATTTATGTCAGTTTCAGGTTTTGTCATCTCAGTCATTCAGGAAGAGGCTGGTTGTAATCCCTACACTGTGAAATACAAATAGTTGACTTTAGTTAAAAGAGTGAGTTAACTTGTTGCTGTTAAAATGATTATGTAAATTAATGTGTGCATATTTGTGTAATTATAAAAAATTATATTAGGTCAACTTAATGCTTCCGAATGAGGCTTATTTACTTTTAAGTAAAGTAACTAATCACTTTTTACAGTTTACAGTGTACATCTGTTTGATGAAGCCCTTAAAATTCGAATTCTGAGAAAGAAAATAAATCTCCTTTTGCATTAAACTTTGAGCATCGTAATTTTACAGATGTTGCTCGTGCTTAAACAGCAACATCACATTAACTAAAGTTTAAACTGTGAAATAATCAAGGAAATGTTAACCATGGATCTTACAGAACACTGAGTTACCAGAATCTTAGCGAAATAATTACCCTCAAAACCAGCTTATTTGCATACATTTGTTATTTAGAAGACGTCAAACGAAGCCAAACTAGGCTTTGGGCACCGAATATGTCTACAGACACACTATTATGGTAGCAATATGATATCACACTTTGTGCCATGCTTTTTTATTTGATCAAAACATAACACAAATAAAATGCAAAAATATACACTTTATACAATAAATAAATATTAAGCACTGCAATTTGCTGATTTAAATTCATCATTTTTGTAATTCAGCTAAAAGCTCAAGCAAAGCTTCTGTAGATTTATATGCTCTCAGGTGATATGAATACACAGCTCAGGCTTAACCACACTTGTGCCCTATCCCCTGTCACACACTTGCGTTCTTACCCAAACAAGAATGCAAGCATGCAGCAGGCAATAAGCTAGCAAGACTGTCTGAGGTCTGAAAACACAGCTTAGTGCCCTTAGCACACACCAAATAGCACACTATCAGCAAAACAATCTTGCAAATTTGCAAGGTGACAGTTGAAACTTTTAAATATGTTAGTTTATATATATATATATATATATATATATATATATATATATATATATATATATATATATATATATATATATATATATATTAGGGATGTAACGGTATCAGAATTTCACGGTACAGTAATACCTCGGTATGAATGGCACGGTATGGTATTTATTGAGTAATTTACAGGAAAACAAAACTAATGAAAAGACTCAAAAAAAGTGCCAAAAGTACTTATTTACCTTAGCACTGAACATATCAATGACATACAAATTAGCCATCTATCTGTAAGTTTTGAAACAGGAACTTCAAATTTTCAATTGTAATAACAAAAACCTAAAAAACCATGTAGAAAAAATAAAGTTTCAATTTAGTATTGCTGAAAACTCAACGCATTCAACATTTAATCACTCACTCACTTGGATAGAGATGTTTATTTTTTTTTAAGAAAAATTATCATATAAATATAATCTGGCAAAAGCTGCGATCTCTGGGCATTTACAATGTCCCCTGCAACAGAAAAAAACCCTCTCATTTGGGACTGAGGTTTCTGAAACAGAGAGATATGATTTAGCCAAGGTTGACCGCAGTGGGTAACGCTGTGCATTGTCTTTCCACCACTTGAGAGGACAAGCCATGAGTGAGATAGAGGTCTCTGTACGGTACAAGTCAATGTCTGCATCAATCTAACAAGTGTGCTTTGTCCTGCAGTCCCCACAACTGTTTTTAGTCGTATTCCCCGACTTATATTTCACCACAGTCTGGCAGTGCCTGCAAACCGTTTTTTTCTTTGTCACCTTTTCTCCTTTTTCATATCTTTTTAGAAAGAAACCGAAATGCGGTATGACTGTATTTACAATATTGCTACATACCTAATATATATATATATATATATATATATATATATATATATTAGGGGTGTAACGATACACTCAGCTCACGATACAATGTGTATCACGATATAATGTTCACGATTCGATATGTATCACGATATTTGGAATAAATTTTTTTTATTTAATTATTTAATTACCAAGTAAACTATTTTTTATGTATTTCTTTTGTTTCAACTTGTTAAACTGAACCTTCTTTAAGAAAATAAATTAATCAGGACTGTCTCTGGAAAATAAAACAATTTAAAAACGTCTTATAAAATATTATTGAAATTATTCAATTCAATTGAATTTAACAGTAAGAGCTTAAGGCTTTGCTTGGTCACTTGCGTTTTTTGTTTGTGCAATCTACATTTCCAGGTAATCAGGAGTTCTATAAAATAATCCTGAACTGATGTGTATCTGTCTGAGAGGTTTTTATGGATGGCTGTCTTCATGTTGGGCATGATGAGTGACAGGGTGGCCGTCTTTTCATTACACAGGACAGTCGTGGCTCTTTTCAGCAGTTTAGGCAGGTTTACTATTTCTTTGGCGTCGCTGATGTCGGCGCTATTAAGTGTATCATGTTGACGTGCATTTTTGTGTACTTCTGTACTCAACAGAATTCATGCTCGTCGTAATCATAACTCTAAAATGCAATATGATTATTTAAATAATGTGTACGTTTTCGGTTTCATTTCCACTGCTGTTCATACTTCCCTCGCGGCTCCTGAACGATCACTCTGTTCCACAAACTGAATGTTGTTTACTACTTTATTACCTGTTAGTCATACCTGCAGGTTCTGTTCACTGAAGCAGACGCGCGCGCAGAGTCCGCCCTCTGTAGTAACAGCTCACGTCATGTGTGATTTTGCGGCCGCCAATACATCATTATATGAAGACAGAATGATATTTTTGGGTGAATTGTACCTTATAAATACAGTATGTGACTCTTTCAACACCATTAGGAAGTATCCATGTCGCTGTGCAAAGTATGTAAATCACTGTGAAGACTTTAAAACTTAGCCTATGTTTGACCCAGTATGCGTGTCAAAAAGCGGACGAGTCTAAAGCAATGACTGTACAACCGAAATATTGCCTGACGTCTGATTTTGAGAGGATAGGCCATCCTCTATTTCAACTCCACTCATCTTGGTCTGCTAACATTACTGCTGCTGCAATCTGAACTCACGTGCGACAGCAGGTGGAACGTAGCTCATGTGCAAACAGCTCAACTAATAAGAGAAAACGGACGTCATATCGTAATCAAATCGTCATAACGCCATGATGCATATTGTGACATTTTTGCATCGCAATAAATCGTACAACGATAAATCGTTACACCCCAATATATATATATATATATATATATATATATATTGAGGTAAAACTGATGCGTGTGTGCATTTTAAAAACATATGCAACTGTTTTTTAAATCACTTAATTCGAAATAGCACTATTCAATTTTCAATGGAAGTATTTAACATAAACATAAACTTCAAAGATTAAAGTTACTTGTACAAAATGTGTGTAAAAAAGGGGCAATTGTAAAAATGTGAATTCTATGTTGAAACTAAAAACTAAAAACATGGCAAAAAAAAAACACTGTGGGTTTTCAGGAAGGTGTTGCTTGAGCTTGTATTTCTGATCTTGTGCATTTGCATGAAATAATTTACCATAAATTATTGAAATAATAGACAATTTATAGTGTTAAAAGTATAAATACTTTTAAAAAAACAATACAAAACAATTACAATTTTAACACTACCATGTTCTGTTAAAGGGTCCAGATTTGCTGTCTATTTAAAAAGCAACTCAGTCTTGGGCTTGGGTTAGATTTATGTATTTATGACCAGGGATGGGCAGTTTTTATGATACAAGTATTTCAAATACGTATTTTAAATACAAAATAAGTATTTGTATTTGATAGGGTTAATGTAGATGGCTTCATATTTTGTTTCAAAATATTTTAGTGTCTTGTATTTGTGTATTTTTAAAATCCTGTAAAATACTTTGTAAGACGTCTACATGGTGACCTCATAGAGACCATTTTAATGTGGTAATGCCGTTGAACATTTCCTGTTTATTGTCAAACTATTTCATAACTGTAAAAAGGGGAATCCAACCATAACTTTACGTTAAAACAGCACCATAACATTATGTATCAATATTTAAAACGTTTTGAATGCCAGAAAGCTATAGAAATTAACTTGAAATTATAATTAAATGTATAACAGGAAATATATTAGGACTATTGTTATTGTGTACATCTCTCAAAATGATCTATAGATGCTTTGGACATAATTAACTCTTCCATTTAAAGAATACCTGAAAAAATACAAAATATTTGGAGAAAGAGTATACTGTGCAAATAATATGGACTGCTAATGCCAAACGTTTGTCTTTAAAACAATCAACATAAAAGTAAGTTCCACAGTGGCGCTTACCAACAATACTTCATTAACTGTTTTGAATAGCAGTAAGGTTGAACATCAGTTATAATTGCACATAGTAAATGAAGAGGAAATAGTTATGCCTAAAGATGTCAAAGTGACACAACATATAAAACATGTTTAATAATCTCCTAAAACCTGACAGGAGCAGGATATAGTATATGAAGAGTTTATCAACAAAATAGAAAAATACTCTCTTCAAGAGTATTGAAGAGTCAGTTTAATAGTATAGGGACTGATATCATGCTCCTTTTAAAAAATGTTGTGGTATTTTTAAAACACAAAAATACTGTATTTTACATGTTGCTGTGTTTTGTAGTTTTTTTTTGATACACTTAAACAAAGTATTTTTGTATTTGATTTTAAAATACATTTCAATGTATCTTTGCCCAACCCCATTTATGACTGTAGCATTTAGTCTGTTCTTGACAGATTTTCCCACCACCACTGCAAAAATTAAGCAGCCCCCTTTTAACTTAAATGGGTTTTCCATTGCTGTTTCACTTTCCCTTAAAAATACAGAACCAATGTCTCTGCAATTGTGCTAAATTCACAAATCTTTAACAAAATTGATTTAGTTCATGACATGAATAAACTTTGAAGAGAGTGAATTCCAAGGTCTGTTGAAATTCTTGATTCTTATTGGCTGGAAGGTGTGCAATAAAATCATCCAATGCACAGGTTGTTCCAGTCAGTTCTGATCCCAATTTGAAGTAAACACTTTCCTCAATACTTAATAGTAACCATAGCAGCTCGGTCAGTTGACGAAGATATGCCAGTGTCATTTACATCATTGTTTCTCAACCACGCTCCTGGAAGACCATTGACACCGCATGTTTTGGATGTGTCCTTTGTCTGTTCCACACATTACAGCTCCTTCAGTTGTTCAGCTAATGAGCTGATGATCTGAATCAGGTTATTGGTTAAAATGTGCAGAGCTGGTGTTCCTCCAGGAACGTGGTTGAGAAACACTAATTTGCATGATCTCTCTCTCTCAGACGCATATTCCCTCTCTGTCTATATGTGATTGCTGATTTAATGTAAGGACTAGGAGATCTAACATGTCATAATTGACCAAAATTTTGTCACACATTATGCAAAACTAGCTTTAATGTGTTTATAACTTAGCAAATTACCATGGAGTTAATAAGATAATCAACAGCTTGCTATGGGTTAATGGATTTTAATATTTTGCTTCTGTATTGTCATTTAAAATCGCATGGTAATCCATTGACTATCCCTTACATATATTACGTTTATGTATTTATTTATCTTTTTATGAAAAAAAATAATTTTTATGTCTATACATATGCAAACAGCCCTACTACTTTCTTTAAATGTTTGTATCTGCTCATAATTCCGATACACTGTAAAAAAAATTCTTGGTTGCCTTAAATTTTTAAGCTGAATTAAATTAACCTTAGGAGTCCATTGAACTTATATTAAGTTAAACTGACCTAAAACAGCTTGCAAAGCTTATAAAATTAAGTTAGAACTTGATCAACTTAGTTTAATAAGCTTCAATGATCTAAAATATATGCTGTCAGGATTTATTGATCATATATATTTTGTTCACAGTGTAGTAATGTTGATCTTTTGCTTTCTTCAGAAGACGAAGAGGATGATGGGGGCGAAGAAGAAGAAGATGATGAATGGGATGACTAATGCTTCTCACTGCTACTGGTTCACACATAGCATCTAAATCAAAACAACGAGATGATAAAGCTGATTCTCCACACAAATTATTTAAACAAAAGGCATGAAATCCTGAGGTTATTCCAGATTAAAGTAGCGCTGAATCTGATCTGCTAGAAATCCAATAAAGCAGCATAAACCAAACTTGACTAGATTTCAAGCCTGTCTGCGGCGTCTCAGTTGTTTCAAAGGCTGGTTTGTCTTCACATCCTGCTTTCACTTCACAGTAGCTCAGCAAAAGTTCAGTTTAAGTACATTTTTTTGAAGACGGAACTTAAGTTAGGCCAAAGCAGGATTGGTGTAAGATTTCATCCAAACTGTAGCATTGCCAAGCCTAACCACAGCTTTATGTTGTATGATTCCTCCTCCGTGCACATACTTTTAACTCAGCAACTGTTTGGTTCCAAAATATCTCTCCCTTAACTACAAACCTATTAATGTTATTCTTGTCAAAGTAAGATAGATCAACTTTTGTGCAGCCATGTGCTGAAAATCGGAGGCTTACATGGGACCTCCCCCTACAGGACTAGCATGAAAATACACAGGATAACAAGGGTTTAAAATAAAAAGTATGTTTATATTAATTTAATTAGATTGATAAGGCCTCCCAGCAAACATTTTTGTGTTTAATAGACGTCTAATAAACATCTAAACATATACAGCTTGGCTTAAACAAGGAAAAACTTGAGCTGTCAGTAAAAATCTAATGGACGTTTAATAGCACAAAAGTCGGCAGATTAGACAGACTATATGTGGTCATTCATTTCAGTATATTTAATAGTCTAGTTTTACGTATATTAGATTTTCATCGAAAGCCCAAATTTATCCTTCTTTTAGCTGAGCCGACTATGTTAAGATGTCTATTAGACATCTTAAAAAAAAAAACACACAAAATGCTTGCTGGGTTCTCAAAGTGGAATTTGAAATGGACGACGTCTCTAAATGGCCTAGTTTTTCACGAAGATTAAGCATGTATTTTCTCATGTTTATCAGTCATAATAGAAAACATGGCGACAGAATCAGAAACCGTTTGTTTCTTTGTTGGACAAAAAATTATTTTGTTGTAATTGTATTAGTGAAAGGACAGTGTTTTTAATAAAAAGGCAATATTCACCAACTGGATGCTACGCCGGGTTGATGTCTGGGTGCTGCAGGTAAGGATGACAACTGAACTGAATATCCCAAATATTTGTATCATTTTCTTCAAAACTGTAGCGACTATAATGGGAGGTAGAGAAAGCGTTTTTATCCGTTTTATAGTGATCGCGCGTTTGTGTCATCAATAATTATGAGTGCGAAATACAAAAACACGACACGGAGAGGTATTTTATTAACAAATAAATTTTTTTTTGCGTTAGAGCTTATAACTTTATAACGCAAAAACAACATTACCCACACATATTAAGACAGCTGTCCTGTATGTTCAATCAGTTGACTGATAAAGTAAATAACTCAATAAAAGTTAAAAATAACCCAACAAGGCGCCAAATATTTTTAACAACCATTGGGTTTAATAAATAGCGTTTTTATGTATTTTTATGAAATTGTTATCTGACGTCACACAAGCAAGAGTGCAGTTTCTAATTCACAAATGAGTTGATTTTTTTACAACAGTTTAAACAAAAATAAATCCGCATATGGACACATATAACGTCACAGTTTTTTGGTCATGTGACTCACTTTCTCAAGCTAACTATGAACTTATTTTTATATAACTGCATTAATATTTCTTTTTACTTTTGACAATTAAATTTTTCTTGATTCTTACAATTTAATTTATTAGTTATCACAATTTAACTTTTTTTGCAACCACATTTTAAGTTACGCCTATCCCAACTTAATTTTTCTAATCATTAACTTAATTATTGGTTGTCATAACTGGTTTTTAGCACAACTTTTTCAGTTTCCACAACTTAATTTGGCTAGTTTCCATAACTTAATTTTAGTTATGTCTATATATAAATTTGGGTGGCCAAAAAAACTCAAATAAAATATTTTTTTTCTGATTGTTTAAACTACTTTATAATGAGCTGAATCAACACAAATCGTGAAATTTTTGGGGGAACAGCTTAATTGCAATGATCAATTAACTTAAGTTTGTAAAAACAATTAAGTTGACTTAATCGATTTGTGTTAGGACAACATGAAGGAATTGTGTGGAACCCTGCATTTTTGACCACACAATTCCTTCATGTTGTCCTAACACAAATCAATTAAATAAACTTAACACTTTTAACAAATTTATGTGAATTGAACATAAAAAATTAAGTTGTCCAAATTTAATATGAAGAGTTGTGTTGTTTTTAAATAAGTAGTTTGAACAAGCAAAAAAAAACAAAACATTTTTGAGTATACAGTGCAAACAAACAAACTGAAAAATAAATAAACAGATAAAAACAAAAACAGCAGTTTATTGTTATTGCTTTAAAAAACACCTATTAGAACTCCCGAACCCCAGAATACCATGATAATAAAATAATATTTATCACAAACAATCACATTAACGTGAACCTACACTAACATCTGTAAATACAAAGAGGAAATATTTTGAGAAGCCACCACAATTAGGAAGTTTCTGTTTAGCTCAACATTCAACACCAAAGAAAAGACACAACAGGACAAAGAAAGTCAATGTGGCATTAAATGTTCCTTAGAGACCCAGATGACGTTCTGCACAATACGTTTACTGTGGAGAGGAAAGAAGTGCGGTTTGGACTTTGAGAATAGCTTGTCCTCCACCCTTCAAGACCAGATAACATGTCTGGGGTTACAAACCACTGAGCGTTTCATTGAGCAAATTTCACACACAGAGTCATTATAAATACTCCTCCAACCAATCCAATGAAGAAAATCCATCACTTACGCTTTCAAAATGATGACATTAGAGGACTAGACAAAGTATATGTTCTCAGAAGGAAATTACACAACACATTTTCCTCGCCTTTGTCCTTTAGTTTGGTGCGACATTCCATAGAAAGTGCTTGAAGAGGTAGACATTTCTGACTTCTATTTGCATTGTGTGTCCAAAAAATGATTAGCAACAACCATTTATCGGTTTATATTTCATCTCTGCTGATAAAACAAACTTTTGTAGTTCCTCAAGGTTAATTTTAATGTTATAATATAAAAAAAAACTAAATAAACTCCAAAAACATCTACCTCTTTTTTTTTCTCAGCATCTCTCCATGTGTCCTGGTCCTGTTAATAAACAATACAAACAATTACATTTTCTGTCAAAATCAGCCCTGTCCCACCACCAAAGAGCACAACTCACATGAATATGTACACTCTCACAATAAATATGTTGCATGGTGTGGCAGAGAGAGAGAGAGAGAGAGAGAGAGAGAGAGAGAGAGAGAGGGAAAGAAAGGAGGTTAGTTTATAATCCTGAACAGTGACTAGTCCAATACATACATTTTCTATGTACATGTGTCATTGTCACACAACACAAAGCACAGATACTGTGTTTATACACGAGCAACAACATGACCACATTTCACCATTAACAAAACAGCAGAATACAAAAATGTGTCGATTATGGATTGAGAGTGAGAATGTTTTTAGTGGTCCGACTATCAACAGAGTCCCAAAGACAGAAGAGACCAGGCTGAACAAAAAAACTGTATATACAGCAAATCAGGGACGATGGGTTTGCTCATAGCTGTTGGAGGATCAACATTTGTTATACGAGACACAAATGACTCGCATTTTGGTTGCCTTCACATTTAAAGATTGTTAATGTCGGTGTGAAGTTTGTATCAGAAGTCTTTTTCAAATAGATACAGCTAATGCTGACTAAAAAGGGATTTTGAGTTTTGCAGATGTCTTTCATTTTGGTCCACAGTTTTGTCCTAATGAAGGCAATGATCCAATCATGGTAACAAAAATTCTGGAATCATAGCTGCATGTTTTACTGCAAGATTTATCTATTTTATATACATTTTATTTGATAATTTGACAAGTAGAAACATTTTAAATGCATGTTTTTTTTATAATGACCAATACTGTTGTTGCTTTTTTATAGCACAGTAAGTTTGATCTGGAGCATTTAGTTTAACCGTTACACATCAAACTAAAATATTGAGGGTTTTTTTCCTGTCATAGATCAAGACTAAAATTATAGCTCATATGCCTGGAGGACTAAAAGTGATACTTAAACATTGATAGAATTTAGTTATTGATTAATTAAATTAAATTAAAAATAATCAAGTAAATAAGTAGTTTAAATGCACATTTCAATGTGAATAGTAGTTTTATGCTTAAACGTCACTCCTAGTTGTCCATTCCTATAGAAACTCTATAAAAAAGGCAAATGTAAATCCAAAAAAAACAAAACGTTTATGGTCAAAAGATATATTGTCCTATAATTATAGTCTTGTGCATACGTTCATCTTAAAATGCTCCAGAAAGTTCTTTCCACTGCTGTATTTTACGGTTTGAGGGTTTAGACACTCCCAACTGAATCTGCAAACTCTAAACTCAACCCCTCTATACCATGTTTTACCATGTCTAAAGGTATTTAAACAGCAGTCATTCATGTAATGTATCATAAAGGGTATAGCTTATATTTTACATCAAATGGCAGTAGTTTTGCTGGTGTGGCTGGACGTGTTCAAGAACTTACAGTGGGGAAAATAAATATTCAAAACATCAAGTTTTTTTCTTTCTGGAAATAATATTTCTAAAGGAGCTGTTGACTTCATTGAAGCAGATTTTGGTAAAAACCCAAACAATACAAACATAAAAATAAAACAAAACAACAACAAAAAAAAGATCTGAGTAATGAGTTATGTGTAATAACAATGAAATGACACAAGGTTGATTTACTGAACTACTGAAACGTGTTTAATACTTTATATAAAAGGCTTTTTTGGTGCTGGCAGCTTAAAGATGACTCTCATATTTAGAATGAAGTCACATGAATTGCTCAGGTGTGATTTTTTTCACAGACCTCAACAGAGTGTAAAATCTTGATGGCTCTGTGGGTCTCGTCTATCAAGTCTGATCTTTAATTTGTATTTTATAATAGATTCAGATCAGGTGATTGGCTTCTTTCTCAGCTTGATTTTCTTTCTCTGAAAGCATTTGATAGTTTCCTTGTCTGTGTTTTGAATCATTGTCTTGCTGAAATGTCTACTTTAGTTTCATCTTCATCATCCTGGTAATGCAGATGTTGGACAAAATCAGATAATATTCAAGAGTTCACACTTAGCTGATGATTGATAATAAAAGCTTGTTTGGCATGCTGTCCCAAGGAGAGAGCCCTGAGCTTATGAGATCCTCGAGCATGTCACGGCCATATCACCCTGCAGCCCAAGACCGGTTACTCACTGAAGCTAAGCAGGGCTGAGCCTGGTCAGTACCTGGATGGTAGACCACTTGGGGAAAAACTAGGTTGCTGCTGGAAGTGGTGTTAGTGAGGCCAGCAGGGGGCTCTCAACCTGTGGTCTGTGTGAGTGAAGGGGTGAGTGAGTGAGTAAAGGGGACACTATACTGTCAGAGTGCGCCATCTTTCGGATGAGACGTTAAACCGAGGTCCTGACTCTCTGTGGTCATTAAAAATCCCATGGCACTTCTCGTAAAGAGTAGGGGTGTAACCCCGGTGTCCTGGCCAAAGCCCCTCTATCAGCACTTAGGATCATGGCTTCCCAATTATCCCCATCCACCCTCTATCACTGTCTCTCCACTCCACCAATAGCTGTTGTGTAGTGAGCGCACTGGCACCATTGTCCTGTGGCAGCCGTCGCATCATCCAAGTGGATGCTGCACACTGGTAGTGGTCTGGAGAGACACGCTTATGGCCATACACAGTAAATGCGCTATATAAATACACTTTTACATTTTTTTTATGACATGGCCTGCCTCCTGTTTGCAGCTTGAGCTCAGATAGACCTCGATGAACTCTCCCCGGCTTATTTGTAGCTAGTGACAAATATGGATGACTGAGGAGAGGTGTACTCGCTAAGAGCTTGACTATGGCATCAATTTTGTGTGTTCAATTTACTTGAGGAGTGTAACTACTGGGAGATTTCAGCTGCTGTCTGGTCTTTTACTGCCTTCCTATACCTCCCTTTCTTCATGTGTTCAATACTTTTCCCTGTGTCATTTCATTTCACATAAATAAAAATAATAATAAATAATTAATTAATTAATTTGTAAACTAATTAGTTTTGCTTTCTTGCATATATGGATTTCTTTGGTTGTTACCAACATCTGGGGAAAGTTTCGAGTTAACAGCACCTTTAGAAATACTTTTTCTGAGAAAAATAGTGACGTATTTATTACATATTTTCCCCGCTATATTAAAAAAAACAAAAAAACAGTGTCATTTAATGCTAATTACGGACGCGAGTTCATCACAGCCAAATTTGTATTAGTTAGGGAAGCTAAGTGCATTAAACTGTACCTCAAAAATCATCAGTTTGGTTCCGATCTAATCTAAATTAATGAATCATATTATACTAATGGGGCCACATAGGAATCTGCCTGGTAGAAGTACATAATGATACATATTCAGGACATGGTCAGCAGGTGCTCCTCTATTCACTGCTCCTCCTCTGGTTCTCCTGTGTGCCTTCGGTTGTTGCGTTTGGCTTTTTGTGGCTGACTCTGCATCTGCTGCCTGTAGGACTGGCAGTACTGGTTGATGAGACGCACTTCAGGCTGTGGGTGGAGTGGGAGAGCCGGTGGGTGGGCTTGAGGTGGTGGTGGTGGGGGTGGAGGGTGCTGATGGGAATGGTGGCGCCGGTGCTCTGGGTCTATCGGGATGTCTGACTCAGTCAGCGCCTCTACAATCTCTCTGTCCAGGATGCGGAGAGAGATGCGAGCCAAGGTGTGCTTAAAGTTGTTTTCGGTTGCTAGGCAATGGTAAAGACCGGCGTCTGATTGGGTGAGAGATTTCAGCAGGATTCCATGACCCGTCTTCAGAACCTCTTTGTCTCGACTGAGCTGAAAACGAAAAGGAGTCATTTGTCTTGTAAATTAATGAGGCCAAAGTCAGCGGGGTTCAACACAACATCAGACCTCACTGACTATTATTGCATTCTGACTATTATTGCATTCACTTTTTCAATGTCATCTTTTGTGTTCCACAGAAGAAAGAAAGTATACACACTACGAGGCTGTTGAATGCTTAATCCTGCTTGGTTGATAGACATTGTAAGTTGCATAATTATTTAATTAGAAATTAAATTAGAACCTGGAGGGTCTTGACCACATTACAGTTCAGAATATTTCTGTAATTTCACAGTCGGCAAGAGTCAGAAACAAAATCAAAACTTTAAGAACTTTGTATAGAAACTAGTCCTACACACAGGAGCCCTTTGAGGACAAAAATACAACAAATGTCTTGAAATGCAACAATTGTGATTTGAATATTGACACAAATTATATTAAGTAATCTCTCAAAATAACATTTGTATGTGTATTTAGGGACATTTTGTATCCAAAACATTAACTTAATAACAAAAAAATGCTAATAAGTTACATCAGTTATAACACATAAAAAAATTTAAAGCACTGACAGAAAAAAAATATGTGACATGCTTGTAACTTTTCTCTGGCAAGAAACTCTTTAAGGCACTGAAGCATGTTATTATATTTTTCTCATTCATTTGTAAAAGTTATTCAGGATACACCAATAGTAGATTAATTATTGTCCAGCTCTGTTACTGTGATACTTCAGGAAAGTGAGCGTCTTGAAGTGGGAAGGGCATGTCAAATACTATGAAGCATTTGATGGGTCAGAAGATTTGATGAGAAACTGTATAGTGAGGTGATGTCAAAAAAATTATTGATCCATGGGGGTTAGGCGAAAGTGATAAACTGCAAGCTCCAGATGTTTATAGCAGGATTATGTCTGCTAAATGCAAATCTTGTCACTGGTTTGGACCAACCTATCTTATAAAAATCCTTAACAATGCTAACAAAACTAATATACTAACATCTAAAAAACTTAATTTTAATTTCACAAGATTTAAAAAAAGGTCCTGTGGAAAAAAAAGACATTTTAGATGTTAGATTTAAGGATTTCTATTAGCTAGTGTTATCTAAAACAGTGACAAAATTTACATTTAAAAATATAAAACTAATGTAAACATTTAAAAGCTTGCAGTTTGTCACTTTCCCCTAAATCAATCAACAGTTTTTTTCACGTCACATCATAAGTCAGTGTCCAAATGACCAATCAAATACTCTCTAGTATCTGACATGCCACTCCCCCTTCAAGACACTTCTCATTTGCTTTTCATTTGATGCGCTTTGAGCTCAACCACTGGCAGAGATGTGATAATGAAACGCTATTGGCGTTTTTTTAAAGGGGAGGGGCTATTCTATGTCCCACCCTCTCTTTATTTTTCAGTAAGATTTCATTAAACATGGGCTAAAAAATTAACATTTCAAAGCACTTCACAGGACCTTTAAAAACTGATCAAGGTAACACGAGCATCTTACAGCTTTTCTCCTGCCGTCCTTCTGGAAGAGCCATTTGACAGTGGCCTGTGGAGACCTTGGCTGACACTCCAGGAAGGTGCTGCTCCCCTCCACCCCGAACTGCACTGTCTCCCGCAGTCGCTTCTCTACTGAGAGGACCACAGAAGGGCCACATTCAAGTCTCTGAAGATCTCCAATGTCATTATTCAGCATCATATAATCGGCGGTTTACAAACCTTTAGCGTTAAATCCTCTGCACTGCCGTAGAGGATCTCCATGTTTGATATCTTGCCTTCTGCTTCTCCTAAGGATTCATTCAAAGACGGTTAAATGTTTTGATGGACTATATTTACTGTAGTCAATCAAACTCATTTTGTAATATTTCAGCAGATCGGACGGTAAGCAAAACTGCGAATGTGATAAATATAAAAAAATGGTGGTTAATGAAGTCTAAAAATATGTTTAAACATATTTTGGATCTTGGACCACCCATGAGGGCATTGAATGAGCCTCTGACCTCTTGGTCGCAGGGGTGAAAGCAGAGCAGTGCTCTCCATCCCAGGCACAGTAGGGGTCTCGTGCCAGACAGCAGTCAGAGCAGGCCTTTCCATAGACGGCGCACCTGTGCAGCGACACCTGGGTGAGACCCCTTTCTGAAGACACGTACAACTGTTGCTGTAAAGCACAAGAGAGAAGGAAAAAACATTTCAAACTGCACAGATGTGTTTGTGATCATTTTTAGGTTATAATAAATTTAATTAAAGTGTGTGGACATCAAACTGAATTGAGTTTAAAGCAAGGATTTTTAGTAATACTTTAATACAGGGTGAGAGCTTGTTACAAATGTTCCATTTACTTACTAAAGTAATTACAATTAATAATGTATAATCACATGAAACTAACCCTAAACCTAACCATTCTAATGCTTGCCATATAGCAAGCACATGTAATGAATTAATATTACCTTGTAGGTAAATTAATACTTATTACACAAAAATAAGGTATTACTTGGCCCACACGGAATCTGCAAGCACAGAATTCTGCATATTTCCATAGATTTTTAGCCCAAAACCAATTCAGTTTTTTTCTGTGTGTAAATGTATATTTATTTAGTACCAAATTTAATTTCAGCAATATTATTGACTAATATAAAAATCTTCATATGATTTATTTACAATGCAGTTTGTGAGGATTATTTTCTGTCTTTTAGTAGATGTATTATATGAGAGTCTTGCTTTGTTTACCAAATAAGTGGATCTAATTGGATTTGCATTGTAAACATTAAGTAAAAGTTAAAAAGGTATTATTTTTTATTTCATATATTAAGGTTTTAGTTACAATACTCCCACAATCATTCTGCATAAATATTAAGATATCATAAAATACTAAGGTTTCATTTGTTATTATTAGCTTAGTATATTAATTAACATGAACTAATTGATTAAAAATAATTCTAAAATAAGTATTAGTCTTCATCACAGATGCCCAAACTAGGGCCCGCGGGCCAAAGTTGACCCATGGTAACCTTTGATTTGGCCCACCAACCAATCAGAGAAGAGATGGACAAACGATGGAAAAAATTTGGGCAAATCCATTAAACAGAGAAGATCATTTCCAATTTAACTAAACCTTTTGTTTGTTTGTTTTGTTGTTGAGTTACAAAAAAGCAAAACCGTAGTCGTTTTAAAATTAAATGGGAATAATCTTTTTTCTTTTTATAATCTTTTTTTTTTTTTTCTCTCTTTTATTTTGGGTAGAATAAAATCAGTTTTTACTTTTTAAAAACCCATTATTAGCACCTTTAATTAAAAAAAAAATCAGCACCTTTAAGCTATTTTTGTTTTCGATTGTCTACAGAACCAATCATCGTTACACAATAACTTGCCTAATTACCCTATCCTGCCTAGTTAACCTAATTAACACAGTTAAGCCTTTAATGTCACTTTAAGCTGTATAGAAGTGTTTTGAAAAATATCTAGTCCAATATTATTTACTGTCATCATGGCAAAGATAAAGTAAATCTTATAAATAATATATATGTGTGTGTGTGTGTGTGTGTGTGTGTGTGTGTGTGTGTGTGTGTGTGTGTGTGTGTGTGTGTGTGTGTGACACATTGATAGAAATACTTTTAAGAAATGTATTTCACTATCGAGTGAAAATTTACTCTTTTTGTGAATAAAACAATAAAAACCATTGAACTCCGTTGTGTCATAAATGAGATTGTTTATGATGTTATTGTAAGAAGTACATTATAAAATGTACGATTAAAGTTTTTTTTCTTTTATATATTCTAAATATTATTAAATTAGAAAGTTTTAATGTAATGCAGTTTGGTTTATTTAGCTTTGGCCACCACCCTCAATCAAGTTTGGTTGTTGGCCCTTCATAAAAAAAGTTTGAGCACCCTTGTTCTTAACATTAATTTCATAATTTACTCATACATTTATTAACATCTAAATATGTATTTTTTAACATTAGTTAATAGACCTGAGCTAGCATGAACTAATAATTGTTAAGGTTGTGTGTTGTTATATAAAGCTAGTTAATGTATTAACTAATGGAACCTTTTAAAAGTGCTACAACTAAAACCTTGATAAATTTAATTCTAAAAAATAAAATAAAAAATGTAAAATGAGTTGTCTTGACTATGAGAAGCAAACAACTTAATGAGAAAATAAATTATTAAAAATATTACAATGTTAAGCTTTAAATTAGTGATAATACTTACCCTTTTAGTAGAAATCTTCAGAGTTTTGACAGCTGCTGGAGTCTGAGGAAAAAAATCAGAGAAAGAAATGAGCAAACATTTAAAAGTCATGATTGATGGTATTTTTTAACAGTCATTTTCTTTTAAAAGTTAAAGAAAAATTGTATTTTTGCACCTTAAAAACTTCCACCTCTTCCAATATGAGCTCTTCTGTTGTGCTGATGTCTTTTGGTAAGACAATCACCTTCTGAACTGTTCCACGATCTAAAGATGAATCATAAATAAATGAAGAAGAGAACTGGTGCAACAGCTTAAATCAGGCACTATAACTATTGAACAATTCCTGGAAATTGTTCTAACACTGGTGTCGCAGAAATCTGTTACAAGTACCCACACCCTTTACAATAGCAGTACATTAATAATGATGTATTAATATGTAAACAAAACATTACTTCATTATGAATTAATGGTGAGTTAATGCCTGCGCTAATTATAAACTAACTTTAACTACAACTTGAGTCACATGAGTTCATACGTGACTAATGGCTCCCTAATTAGTTGTTAGTACATGCTGTTAACTAATGTATTAATTAACATTTAAGTTTAAGCAAAATGTAACCAACATGAACTCATGACATGTTAATGTATAATTATGTCATGACTTGGAGGGACGCATCATCATTACCTCGTCCTTAATGAACTCCTGTGTTAAAACTGTTGATGCTGATGTCGACAGAACACATTTCTATTGTTATTCAGTGTAAACACACTAGACGGACGTGAATAATGAGTTCATGAGTAGTTAAGAATGGGTTAATGATGTGCCACTCCAAGTAAAGTCATGATATAATTATATGTGAACATATTGTGAGTTGATGATGGGTAATTTAAACATAAACCAGTCCGGTAATTAATACACATTTATAATTAATTAACAATAAAATGAACATTTATTATAGAAATAACAAACAATCATGTACAAACAACTAATTAAGGTAGCCGATATTCATACATGAACTCATGTGACTCATGTTGTAGTTAAAGGTAGTTCATGATTAGTGCATGCATCAACTCATCATCATTAGTCCATAATAAAGTAATGTTTAATTTACATATTAGTACATCATTATTCATATACTGTTACTGTAAAGTGTTACCTCACAAACAAACCTATTAAATTTGCAATTTTTTTATAAAATATGGCAAATTAGCTGAGTTTCAAAAGTGCACCTTCCAATGCAATTAGAGAAGAGATCATCCTGCATGCAACAGAAAATGCAAATTCTACCTGTGCCCAGAAAGAGCACCTCGTATCTTCCATCCACAGCGTCCACCAGATCAACAGCAATGGTGGTGAAACGGTAGTCGACTCCAGTCCTGACCACCAGGGGGCGCTTGTGTATGGGATATATAGGTTGGTACATCAGCGGATGGGCACGGACAAAGTTTACAGCCTCGTCTGAGAAGGCTTTAGTGGTGTGGAGATCAGGGGTGAAAGTTCCTCCGGGACACTAAACAACACAAACAAGATGAGATATCAACGAACAATCAATAATGACAAACAAATCTGCTTCAGCAATACTCACAGTCCCTGGCCGAGGATAAGGGATTTTGCCAGTGTAAGGAGTCCACTGGTAGTTGTGGCCATGTTTATGTGAGAAGGGCCCATTGAAGACATTTCTGATGTCAGACATTGAGTAAACACAAACTGCAGAACCTTTAAACACTGAGCTGGAGAGAAAAGAAACAGCATTGACATCATGACTAAATTTATTAAAGATATTCAATATAAGCTCTAGTTTGAAGAAATAGTTCCTGTTGCTGAAGAAATAATCAGGAGCTAAATTATCAGTTTAAATATATTTTTTATTTCTTCACAGTTAAAATATAAGTTATCCGAGGCTCTTTCCACACAACAAAATCAAAAGATTCACCAGTATATATATTGCACTGGGTGTGTGGCTGGAAGGGCTGGAAGGGCATCCACTGCGTGAAACATATGCTGGATAAGTTGGCAGTTCATTCTGCTGTGGCGACCCCAGATTAATACATTTACATTTAGTCATTTACCAGACGCTTTTATCCAAAGTGACTAACAAATGAGGACAAGGAAGCAATTTACACAACTATATGAGCAACAATGAATAAGTGGAATAGGCACGTTTTTTTTTTTGTACAGTTAGCGGTGGAGCCAGAGAGGCAATTGCAGATTAGGAAGGAAAGTGAAGACTAATAGTTGAGTTTTTAGTCGTTTCTTTAAGTCAGCGGGTGATATATATATTTAAAAATTTGTATAAGTTTACACTAACTTAAATTTGTTAAACCTGTGATGAGAAGGCTGAATTTTACAAACGCATGTTTTTGTAAAATAAATTTAAAATACCAACTTTTTGCAACTGATAATGTATTTCTCACAATTCTGGGTTTTTCTTGGAATTGCATGATATTAACTCATGATTGCTAGTTAGTATAAAATAATTGTGAGATATATACTTGCAATTCCAAAAAAAAAAAAAATAATAAAAATATTTATATATATATATATATATATATATATATATATATATATATATATATATATATATATATATATACATACATACATACATACAGATAAACATCTGCCAAAATGATACACATCCACAAGTTATAAAGTGCAAGTTATATAGTGAAATTCAGTGGGATTTTTTTACAACTGCAAGTTTACAACGCTCTATTCTGAAAAAAGTTTAAAAAACAAAACAAGTTGTTTACCTTTAATATATATATTTTTTTAAGAAATGCATTTTAAATAATTCTTCAACTAACACAAATTTCTAAAGAGCAGCATTTGTCCGAAGTGATTTTTCTAAAGCAAAATTTTCCTGCATTTTAGATCAGTTGCTGAATTTAAAGTAAGAATGGGCTCTATGCACAGCTAGGGTTTATAAAGCCATCGATAAACTTCCGGGGAAAGCTTAATGTAATTATTTTCAATTTCACAAGGTTGCATTTACAGTGTTGATGTTATAATGTAATTACAATACATTTAGTCAAATAGACATAAGCATTCATTTAGTTGTTCAAGCGTAAAACTAGATGAAAGAATGTTGTAACCACTAGCGCTGTCAGTAGTAATAGGCTAGCGCAGAAATTCCTATGAAAACACTGGGGTAAAATAATAAACCGTCATATTTTATAGACATGGCGGGGGGGAATGGAGTTTAGTGCTTCTTGTCTGATTTGAGACCCACTTCATATCGTCTATCTAACAGGCAGTGAAGACTGCTGATTTTTAAAGAAATCAGATTTTAAACGTGACAATTTTATAATGGAAAGACAGTTCACAGGAAGCCCTGGGACTGCCTGGCTGAAAGTTAAAAGATTGTGTGCATATAGCTCATTCCTTTAGACCAAAAAACATCAACCTCAGAATGACATTCGATGTTTGCTCTGCAGTTTTACTCACCCAGCTGTGGAGAAGACTGCATACACAATGGGGTTTCGTTCATCATGGGTCCTCTGGATGAAAACATCCCCTACAAAACAAACAAGCATCAGGCATCAGCCACAGACATTACAGACACCATATGATCTCAGAGCACAGAAAAACAGGCCATACTCAGTTCATCAAAGTAGGTCTCCACACCATCTGCACCGATCACAGAACAGACCAGCCGAGCTTTGAGGAACGTCGTCCACTTATTCACCAGTGACCTCTGACCTCCATCATCATTCTGAAGAGAAAGCACACATATGCATAAAAGATTAGGCTTTATACAAACCTGGATTTAAATGTCGATTTGCATGACAAAAATCCTCAGGATTAAAAGTTGATGGAAAAAGTTGTAGCATGGCTTAAGACAGATGTTTTTTCTCACCAGACAGACCCGTCCGACTCTAGCAAGCACACTCGGAGCGCTGCCTCCTGACGCATCCAGACTCTTCTCCCGAAAGAAGAAGTAAAGCTTGTCATCGTTCTTCTCTGCACTGTCTGGAATCTTCTGGATTTTTATGAAAACTGGCTCTGATGGAGAAACGTAAAGAGATTTGTAAAGAGATGAAGGGGTAATGTAATAATTATTTGATGCAAAACACTGCAGGTGAACAGGGTAAAATGAACTTAGTTATTATCATGCTTTTGACTGATAACATTAATAATTGGAGAAATATTTTTCATTACAATTTGTTTTGTTTGCATATTTTGTTATTAAATATGCTTCCATGTGCATACATTTCTAGCACAAAAATGTAAATATTGGATGAAATCAGATTCAGAATTCTTGTTTTTGTTTGACGTACGAATAAAAGGGGATTTTCGGTATCTGCTTTTTACCCGTAATAGAAAAAAATATTGCAAAAAGTAAAAAAATAAATACTTAAAAAGAAAAGAAAAAAAAAGATAATATTATTAAAAATAAAAACAAAATGTATATAATAAGGCAAATTAAGTATAAACATCTCTTCTGATGAATACTTCCAGCAGGATAACGTGCAATTTCATAAAGTGCGAATCAACTCAGACTGTTTTCTTGAATATGACAATGAGTTCATTGTACTCAAATAGCCTCCACAGTCACCAGATCTCAATCCAATAGAGCACTTTTGGTATGAGGTGAAACAGGAGAATCGCATCATGGATGTGCAATCGAAAAATCTGCAGCAACTGCGAGATGCTATTATGTTAATATAGACCAAAATCTCTGAGAAATATTTCCATTACCTTGTTCAATCTATGCCATGAAGGATAGAACTTAAGGCAAAGGGGGGGTCTAACCCATTACTAATAAGGTGTACATAATAGAGTGGCCGGTGATTGTACATAAACAAATTGATTAAATGTGACAAAAAGAAATACTTTAAGGTGTATTTTAGGTTTTTTCTTAACATTAGATTAAATAATCACTTCATGAAAAGCTAAACCTTAACAGGTGCATGAAAAACCTGTATTTGTGCCTGCAGTATCTCACTTTAATGGCTCCTCTGCTCATATGCCATACCGTTCAGCCATCGGGAGTCATACTGCTCTGTTCTGACAGCGGGACGGTCTCCTAAGGTTCGGAAGATGGCTGGATCTGTACCCATGAAGTCCACATGCACCCCAGAATACAGGTTCCCATCTGAAGAGTGTTGAATGAGAGTAATGTGGAAAGAGAGCACAAGAGATCATGATGGATGAAGCCCATTTATACTGCTAGAGGACTCTCATACAACTAGACGTGCCGAACTCAAGAGTTCCCACACTTTTTGACAGAGATACTGCAACAACCATAGAAGTATTTTTAAAAATGAATCTGTACACATTTTTGGAGAAAAAAATTAAATGATAGATGTAAACTATAAACTTTTATACTATGCTGTAAAAAATGTTAACACACAATTCCTTTATGTTGCCAAACAATTCAGCTTTGCCATCATAGAAAAAACATTTTAAAATGCAAACAAAAAGAGACATTTAAAATTGTAATTATATATTTTTCTCTATTTTTGATCAAATTTAGCCTTAATGAACGTAATATTCTTCTTTCAATGCATCAAATAAAGCCAAATGTTTGACCAGTATTGCATTCTAAAGCAACTCAAAATATCATTCAGCCTTTTTGAAGCTTGACTACATGCTGTTGTTTTGAGAGAAAGAAAGAGATCAGAAAAGTGAAAAAGAGGTCTCACTGATCAGAGCTGCTGCGTTCTCCTGCCGGGGATCATAAGGAGACTTTCCTTTTCCAGAGTCCACATAACCAGGAACCAGCCGGAAGAGGTATTCCTACACATAATCACACACACATAGAGAAATCTGAGTAATGAAAGTGACTGCACTGCTGGAAAAAGTTCAAAACTTTTTGTTTTAGTCAGTTTTATCTTTGGACAAAAAACATTTGCATTTAGCCTATATTTCCATTTTAGTCAACAAGTCTAAGTCTGAAAATAGCATATTCTAGTCAAATAATGATCTTCTTTGTTCCAGTTTACAGTTCCAAAATAATTGATTCATTGGCAAAAAATGATCAGTTACATTTTGCAAGGCAAGATGCTTTCTTATTGCGGGTGATCCATGCTTGTGACATAATGTTTTTTTTAATTAAAGGTGTAGTTCACTCAAAAATTTTAATTCTGACATCCTTTACTCAGCCTTTACTTGTTTAATACCTTTGATTACAGGTTTTCAGCTTTCTTAAAAAAAACCTTCAATGGTGTTTAAAGGAAGAAAGAAACCCATAAGAGTTTGGAGCTACGTTAGCTAGGTTGAGTAAATACTATGTAATGTAATGTGTATTTATATGGCGCATTTATTGTGTATAGCAATACACCCAAAGCGCTTCACAATCATGAGGGGGGTCTCTCCACACCACCACCAGTGTGCAGCATCCACTTGGATGATACGACGGCAGCCACAGGACAACGGCGCCAGTGCACTCACCACACCAGCTATTGGTGGAGTGGAGAGACAGTGATAGAGCCCTGCTGGCCTCACTAACACCACTTCCAACTGCAACCTAGTGTTCCCTAGTGGTCTCCCATCCAGGTACTGACCAGGCTCAGGCCTGCTTAGCTTCAGTGAGTAACCGGTCTTGGGCTGCAGGGTGATATGGCTGTGGCATGTACATTTTCATCTTTGGGTGAACTATCCCTTTAAGCACAAACAGATGAACTGACAGCTCATTCCAGTTACAGTGTGTGTGTGGGTGTGTGGGTGTGTGTGTGTGTGTGTGTGTACCTCAGCTCTCCAGCCTCTGTTGATGAAGGTGCAGATGGGTTTGTAAGCCCCAGTGCCGCAGGTGTACAGGTGAGTCCTGTTCCACGGCTCAATCAGACGGACAAAGTTAGCACACTCTCCCTGAAAAACACATGGCATTTTAGCAAGGAACCTGTCAAAAAGAACAAAAATAGACTGTAAAAGTGTACCTGTCCTCCTTTGCCAGTTAATTTACACTCCCCTTTTCTTTGCGTTGTCGCCGGCCAGTGAATCTGAAAGCATACAAACCTTTTTTAAAATACTAAAATAGTAAAAGTATCATGAAATCATGGTTTAGATTCATAATTAACTCAAGTTTCTAGTTTTTTTCTTACAATTAGAGAAAATTACTCGACAATTCGGTTGTCTTACAATAAGTGGTTCCTTATTGACATTCTGCATGTCTAGAGAGACCAGATATTCACGACTGCCCAGATAAAGTCGGCCCTGGTCTTGGTCCATGTGCAGAATTCTGTAGTCACTGGTGTTGAAGGAGAAACTAAACGGCCGAATGGTTTTTGTCTCCAGTAACTCTGTAAAGCACAAAGAAAAACAAATCAGGTCATAGCAGTCAACTTCAACAATATCTCATTAAATCTTCCTTCCGTCATATAAAATAACTAGATTCACTATTGAATCAGTATTGAAGTATTTAGTGGTTTTGTTTCAGTGCATCTCTATTAGATTATTTACAGTACAGTTGTGTACAGAATGTGTAATTTTTTTAAAATACAGTAGTCAACATTTAAAGCGGATCAAAACTACTACTCAAAGTTGTCATAAATCTATTGATCAAGACCCATTCTTGTCCTAGGATGATTTTTAAAACTTTTCTTGATCCACTTTAAATATTGACTACTGTATATTACTACTGTTGAAATAATTTATTATTGATATACAAATGTATTAAAAACTCTTTGCTGCATACAGAGCCTAGTGCAAAATGAATTTTAATAACATAAATATATTACTTACAATCATAAATAGCACTTATCCTTATTTCTTCATTCATTTTTGTATAATTAAAAACGTATCTTTATTTCATTCAAATTAATAACATCTCTTTGTTGTCAGAGCCTAAGTTAAATCTTTTTTTTTGGTCGACCCCGGCTTCTTCTTCTGTTATTTTTCATTCAAGTCATAGATCATTTACTCACACATTAATTTAACCTTGAGTTTTGTCATTCATTCATTTATTCATTTTCTTTTCGGCTTAGTCCCTTTTTTAATCTGGGGTCGCCACAGCGGAATGAACTGCTAACTTATCCAGCATATTTTTTCCGCAGCGGATGCCCTTCCAGCTGCAACTCATCTCTGGAAAACATCCATACACACTCATACACTACGGACAATTTAGCCTACCCAATTCACCTATTCTGCATGTCTTTGGATTGGTGGGGAAGCCGGAACACCCGGAGGAAACCCACGCAAATGCAGGGAGGCTCGAACCAGCAACCTTCTCGCTGTGAGGTGACAGCACTACCTACTGTACCACTGTTTCACCGAGTTTTGTCATTAATTATTAAAATAATGCAGAAAAATATTGAAATAATCAATTAAAAAATGCTATTTTTTTAAAAAACAGACATTTATTTACTTCTCATTATTATTTTTATTTGAATCAGTCTGTGTACTGAAAAAAATGATTAATTGGATTTACTATTTTTTTAAGCTAAGTTGTTGCAAACATTTTATATGGGCTGAATTTAAACATATTAAGTTGAACATTCCTAATTTAAATAGTTTGTTTAAATTCAGCCCATATAAACTGTTTGCAACTACTTGCCTTACTTATTATTATTTAAAAATTTTACAGTAATACATAACTTTACTCGTTACTTTACCACATATTTTGCAATAAGTGTAATGCATTACCAACAACACTGATTACTACTGTATAAATTATTTAATATTGATATAGAAATGTATTAAACCAATCAACTTTCAAATGTAACTTTATCATTAAAAATGTTTAAATTTTATTTTGTTAAAACAAACCGCTAAAGATAAAATTTATACTTATTTAATATTTAATACTTATTTATCACTCATTATTCATTATAAGCTGTGGAATGCACTACCCATCAGCATTAGGATGCCACTTCTCTGGACTGTTTTAAGAAACTTGTTAAGACTCACCTGTTTAGCACTGCTTTTAACTTGGGATGATAATTTATTACTCTATCTTCATATTTTATTATGTTCATATTTTTATTGTTGCATCTATTGATTGTTGTGCTGTTTCTCCAATTGGAAGACTATTTTAGTTAAACCTTTGTTAGAGCCTGAAACTATTATTTTGACCAACCCAGGCATCTTCTTTTGTAATTTTTCCATTCAAGAATGAGTTTCATTAATCATCAATAATTTTTTCACTAACTTTTTTAACCTCGAGTTTTGTCATATTTGTCATTAATTATTAAAATAACTGTGATAAAAAATATCATTTTTAAACATTTATTTTTGTATTTATTTATTAATCATGATTATTTTTTATTTTATTGTTATCAGTCTGTGCTTTTCTTTCTCAACCCGTCATATTGTTCACACAGCAGGTGCCGGTGGTTTCCATCTCTCTCTCTTTGAGTCTTTCTCTCTGCAGCAAGACACACAGGGGAGAAGCGAGCAGGTGCAGAGATGAGAGACGTCAGCTGTCTGAGCTCGCCATGCTCCACTCGAACCGTCTCCTCCACAATCACACACTAATTTCCCCGAAGACACATTACCAATTAAACCAATGCGCTTGCACCAAATATTTAGTGTTTCCGTCAATGGTCGGAAGACAAAAACATAATTACACACACCATACGACAACAGAGTGAAGGCCAGGCCAGAGTATGAGGAGAAGCTGGTTGACTTTAAGCATAAATCTGAGGTTATGAGGACGTGCTGACATCTCTGCCCTCTGAGAGTACAAGAGTAAGTGCGTGATTTTAGCCCGAGCGGAACGGCGCAACTGACACACGGCAAATCTATAAATTACTCCACGTTAGCGTCATACCACACGACACTTTGATCTCAGAGGTATTACTGCGCTCCCCGTCCAAAAGCTTGTCCGCCACTACACACTGGATAAACAGAAATAGAATGGGGCCGGTGACAGGAAGGTCACTGCGAAGTACGTGGAGAAGGTTTTAGACAATGTATTACAGGGGACATGTCATGGAAATCGATCTACTGCATCTCTCGACGAAGAAAATGAAAATTAGTAACTTTGTTTTGGCAAGTTCAGATTTCCCTTCTATTGTAACATAGGCAGGGGATCTTATTATAATATTACTACCATTGACACATAATGCATCTAAAACAGTGAGATTTAGAAATGTTTTTAATGTCTTACTTTAATGTCAAATAAAATTCTTGTCATGCCAACTTGCAACTAAAAACAGAAGCTCACAACACTTGTCTCACCTCAAAGTTGTTCTGATTGGTCAACTGTTTTGGAACAGAAGATTGACGAGCAGCTATCCGTGTAAAAGTTGAAATTCTAATGCTAGTTCACACCAGACGCGGCACACGTAAATAAATCACCATATTCAGGTGTAAATAGATGCTTGAACACTTTGAGTTTAATCAATTCATTCACGTGTCAAATTTGCCTCACAATAGGTTTGGTCTCGCATCATGGGTGGGGCTTCTGTCTGCCTGGTGACTCTAGCTTTGGCTAGACATGTCTAACATGGATTTTATCGAGAGAATAGCTGTGTTTATGTGCTTTAGGAATGCAGAAAAACAGCATATATTTGTTCGGCGCCGTGTCTGAGTCCGCTAGATCCTTTCAGAGGTGCACCCAGCTTTGTGAGTTCATCGACTTCTCCAGAAACTGTATCTGGATGATGGAAGCTTTTAGCGGTGCTTCAGACTGAGCCCAGCCCAGTTTGTTGAACTGTTGTCAGAGGTTGGCAAGAGGATTTCCCCTCAGGACACCAACAACAGGTGCTTCGTCATGATCACACCCCTATAAGAGCAAGCTACTGATTGGTTAATGCAGCAAGAATGTCTGCTGAAGTTCAGATTTTCCAACTCAAGCAATCGGCGCGTCAAATGCGCAAAACGCTCAACTAGTGCCAGAGAATGTCAGAGGAGGCCTATTCGTGTCTTTGCATTGAAGACCTTTTCGTGTCTTAGTCCTTCCCAGTGCCTAATTTGTAAATTGCGAGGTCCCAGAACAGATCGGGGTAATGGATCCGGCATGATACCCGAGGATGGAGAGGGGTAGCACACAAAAGTGGTTGTTGGATGGCGGAGGGGTATCACAGACAAAGGATGAAAATCAAGAGCGGGGGGTTATCGTGTACAAAAGTGAAGAGGGTTGGGGAGTCGTGGAAGAAAGTGAACAGCGGACTTGGGAGGAGGGCAGTTGAGGAGGGGGATTGGTAAAATCCGCTGCCAGATCAGATTTTGGAGGTGCCGGATCCGGAGTGTTCCGGCACAAATTAAACCTGGTCCCTCTCCTCAGGGGTAGGGGTGTCCCAATTCTATTTAGCTTGAAGGCGTAGGGCTAAGGGGAAGGGTTAGATACCCTTTGAAACAGATATTTGTCAGGACCACACTTGAAACCAAGGGGTCGAATGGCTGCACACAGAATTAAAGAGATGCACAACTTTGTATTTTTGTCATTATTATGAATTTTTACAACAAACAAGCACATGTTTTAATATATTCATAACCGCATTTGTGTTTTACTGTAATGCTTTAAGAAAAAAAAAACTCTAAATAAATCTATAATCCACACTAATTACTCTTATAGCAGTCCCACAACATTCGTTCACTCAATGACACTCGAATACCCTGTCAGAAAAGTCTAGTGGCTGGGAATTACCTTTTTACAGTGTCTGCTTACATAAATGAATATGGCCAAGGTGTAAATGCACAGTATAGTTACAATCTTATTGCCACATTATATCATTATGATAACAAGATATTGTTGCCTTCAGTGATTTCCTAATGATTAATTCCAAAAAAAAACACAACTGGAATAACTACAGCAGTCCTGATCGCTGACCTCATATAAATCATGAGATCACGATGACATGATGTGTGCAGGTGTTGTAGTGGTGTCCAATTTCTTAGGGGCACGTTTTAAAGGGGTAGAATAGGGATTGGGCTTTAACAAGGCAATTGATGCTTCATCTGCATCTGGTGTGAACGCAGCATATTGGCATCTTAAAAACACTAAGTTTCAAAAGATGCAATACATGAGCATGAGGGATGGACCGAATACACATCCATCAAGTGCATATTCACTAGAAAAACTATGGAGAGTACTGGAATAGAAAAATCTGTTTGGTGTGAACAAGGTCTTTATCTGCATGTTTCCACCATTGGTCCTGCTCCGACAGTCATTTCTGATTACTCATTGTAGCAGCTAGAAATGTACTATTTCTGTCTCACAAAAACTATAAATTCTTATTCATAGATGCCTGACATCCAAGCCACTGAGGACTTTGTGGTTAAATATATATATTTTTGAAAGTTTTAAATATGAAATTCAAGTGTTACTGCTTTACTAATGACGGTCAGTTCAATGCTG